TTAATGTATGCATTTAATCACGAATGTATTCATTTGTTTCTGTTTGTATGGTGTTATTGATTCATTTTATTAAAACATTTATTTGCATTTGTATTTACTACAGCATTTATTATCCATAGTTATTGCATTTGTCACTTTTCTGTCCTCCATATGCATTATTAGTATTTTCACCTGGAGCCCTTTGCTGCATGTTGTTCCCCCTTTCCTGTGTATCTTCGTTTAAAGGCATAAAAAAAGCCCCCTAAAAAATCTTTAATTAATTATGCACTGAATCACTTGTCATTTAGTGTCCATTGTTTTCTCTCATGTATGTAAATATTAGTGCTGTCATTTAAACGCGTTATTAACAGCGTTAACGCTCAATTTTTTTTATCACAAGATTAACGTTCTTTTTGGCTTAGCACTTTGTAGTTTTTTTCACATGCTGTTGCAACAACTAGTAACATTAGAAAAACTACAACACCACAGTGGATCTAGCTAGACCGGAAACAAAACAACAGGCACGCCGCACACACTTGTTTAAGACTAGTAGACGTTACGTTTTGAGTGGATGACGAGCCCGAGACGCTGAAATGGATGCCAATTATATTCTGAATGGAAAGTTTACTTTTAAAAAGTTGCCAAATGGTTTCATTGATAAGACCAAAGTGATCTGTGTGTTTTGTCGTTGTGAACTGAGCTATCATCGCAGCACGTCCAGTCTGAAATACCACTTGATGGCCGAGCACACAGCTGATGGGAATTCTCCGCCCCCTCGTCAAACACAGGCGACAATGGAGGATTTTTCAATAAAAACAACATTTGCACAAAACAAGCTGATCCACTTTTCCATGTTGATAAAAGCATTAAAATGAGAAAAAATAATGGGACAAAAAGAAATCAAGGGACATTTAGAATAGATAAAAATTTGTGATTAATTGTAAGCTAACTAGGTCCGTGTATGTTTTGGTCATTGGATTTTCCTTTCAGAAACGGGTATTAAAAAACAGAAAAGCAGTGGTTATTTGATTTTCGTTTTAGAATACAAAAATTTAAATTGAAATACAAGGCGTTTTTCTTTTTCATGGTCAAAAGGGATGAGCAAAATTTTAAAAAATATTCGATTTTCATTTTCTATTTCATATAACAAAAAATAAAATCACTAGAAAACAGAAACAGAAAAAGGCCTGTTTTTCATATTCTGAGACCGGATGTTGTCATTAACAGGGCGGTGCTGTGGAGAAGAAACAGTAGGCTAGTAGACTGCGGTCAATCCAGCCGTGAGTCCGATCTCCGTGGTCATATCAGCCGCACTTAAATTTAGAGTGTACAATTATTCTCAGCATTATGGTAAATGCGGAGAAACAGCGTATTACTTCCGGTTTTCAAAATAAAGGTATTTAGAACAGTAAGCTATAATTAAAATATGTTACATTAAAGTGTTTCATGCGCCTCTGATGAATAAAAAAACACTTTATATCAAGTATCTTTACTGCACCAGTGTGGAGAAATGCAAAAATAAAAGCCTCATATGTATGCCTCCAGAGATTGCATATTTGACCATATTTGAGGTACTGTAAAAACATATTGCTCAGTGTTTCCTGGCTACTGATGGTATATTTGACTTTTATACATGTGAGATTACAAGCATACTTAATATCAAGCATTTTTACTGTACCAATTTGAGAAATTCAACAATAAAAGTCCATATTTGTACCTCCAAGTGGTATGTTCATATATTTGAGCTACTGTAAAAACACTTTGCTCAATACCTGGCTATGGGTGAAGTATTTTCATTATACTTCAATAATGATGCAGTAATCATGACAAAATTTCACACAAATGTTTAATAACATTTTATAAAACAAATATAATATAAAGACTATTTATTTTGGCATTTCTCCACACTGGTGCAGTATACTTGATATAAAGTGTTTTTTATTCATCAGGGGCGCATGAAACACTTTAATGTAACATATTTTATTTTAAATGTAGGTTCGAATTATAGCTTACTGTTCTAAATACCTTTATTTTGAAAACCGGAAGTAAATACGCTGTTTCTCCGCACTCTAAATTTAAGTGCGGCTGATTTGACCACGGAGATCGGACTCACGGCTGGATTGACCGCAGTCTACTAGCCTACTGTTTCTTCTACACAGCACCGTCCTGTAAATGACAACATCCGGTCTCAGAATATGAAACAACAGGCCTTTTTCTGTTTCTGTTTTCTAGTGATTTTATTTTTTGTTATATGAAATAGAAAATGAAAATCGAATAATTTTTTTAATTTCGCTCATCCCTTTCTGACCATGAAAAGAAAAACGCCTTGTATTTCAATTTAAATTTTTGTATTTTAAAACGAAAATCAAATAACCACTCGTTTTCTGTTTTTTAATTCCCGTTTCTGAAAGGAAAATCCAATGACCAAAACATACACGGACCGGGATCGAACCACGGGCGCTGTCCAGTGTTTTAGTTATAACTGCTCCCCGTGTCTTCTCTATAGGATTTAGCCTAATTCACCTCCATGAAGTTCTCCATACTGACCAAATGGAAGCAAGTGTCTGAAAACCCCCAAATCTTTAAATGAAAGCTTTTCCACTGACTGCTGTCAAATTACTACTGGATGGATGAAATGCATTCAGCAGGGCAGGGCTATTATCAGAGGACCACCAGAGGGAGACAATCAGCTTTTGAGAAATAAATGGCAGAAAAAAAAGAGTGAAAGAAACAAATAAAAGGATAATTGTGTACACAAATGCTTAAACAAATGCTGAAGTAAACATCTAAATTAATTTCCTTAATTGGGACATATATTATTTATTTCCAGATTTCTACATTTCTGCTTTTGGTTATTTCTGTGTCCATGCTAATGAGTTTTTAGTAAAACATTCAGACTAGGCTCGTAGAATTGTTCCTCTCCAGCTCCCATTATTCCTGGCAGAAACGAAACAAGTCACGTTTATGAGGCCCGTTTCCCACCAACCCTTCTGCACTGGTTTAGCTCAGTGGTTACTTCGCTCACATTTCTCTCTGTAGAAAAGCTGATCTCCATCCCTCTGTGGGATTGAACCACGGGCGCTGTCCAGTGTTTTTCTCTCCCTCTTATTACCAAACTGTTCCACAATAGTAACTATATGTCTTCTTTAAGAGGCTGAACTGTGCTGTAGCGCTGTAGATGAATCTCTCCACAGCAGAGCAGACAACAGCAGCCGTGATAAGGTCTGTCCCCTCCTGTTACTGACGCTCTGCTGTGGATCTAAACCCAGGTGCTGTCTAGTGTTTTGGTTACAACTGCTCTTCATGTCTCCTCTATATGATTTAATCCACATCCATAATTACCTGTAACGTCACTACTGAGCAAGAATATTTCGCATTTTTGGCTCATTGTGTGGGTGACATTGGTCAGTACTTCCTAAAGTAGAACAGTTGTTTTCATTCTCACTTCATGTAGTGATGAAATGAGTCTTACTAATAATAACAATAAGATCATTACAGTGTATCCTCACCCTAGAGAAGCTGCACATACATTGGGGTTGTTCACACATTATCACAGGCAACCCTAATGTGCCATTAGTGTGTGAGTGACCTAGAGAGGGTTCAATGTCAGGGTCTATTTGTTAATGTGAAATTTTACTTACAATCAACATACCAAATTTAACAGTATGATGTTCAAAATGGTAAATGCCTTTAGGAGCACTACAACAAGCCAGAGGAAATTCATTTTTTCACGGGTTATGCGTCTCATGTACTACTGTCACTTATTGTTCTAAAAGTTATGTAAGTTAGTGTGTAAACATAAATGACTATGCGTCATGTTCCCCCTTTCCTGTGTATCTTCAATTAAAGGTATAAAAAGAAAAATCTTTATTTAATTATGCACTAAATCACTTGCCAATTAGTGTCCATTGTTTTCTCTCATGTATGTAAATATAATAATCATTTACCTTTTTATTTACTTCAGTATGTATGTATGTATGTATGTATGTATGTATGTATCCATTTGTCATTTTTCGTTGTCCTAACACGGCTCCTTGTCTATGACAAATACGGCAAAGGACACAATAGATGGCAATAAATGAGTGGATTTATTATATTAACTTAAACAACTGAGGTTATAAGTACAAATGTGAAGTGTGTCAGTCAGTAACATCAGTAATGTAAATGTGGATGTGTGAGCAATATGAGGTGTAAATGTTGTAAAGTGAAACCAAATCAGAAATCAAACAAAGAGAATGTGGTGCTGCTGCTGGCGGGGATGTAGCCGAATGAGAGCGAGAGAGCAGAGTTGAGACAGGGTTTTTATCCTTTTAGGAGCGCCTGAACCAGGTGCTCAAAATACGTACTCTGCTGATGGTACCTTCGAGGACACATCAGAAAAACAACAACTGGTCAACCACATCAGCACATCGACATTAGACAGGGACCGTCACACATCCAATATCCATAATGTCCTTGATAGATTTATGAGTTTATTATATTGCAGCAATGTATAGTGTGTAGCTCTTTAATTGCTTTACTAACATTATTTTTTAAAACTATAGAAACATATCATCCATCAAATAATAAATTAGGATTAAATTGAATTCATAAATGAAGAAAATAAAATCTATATGACAAAATCAAACCTACAATCCTGTCTGTGCTTGATTATAGTGATTATTTTTATGTGTGTCTATCATTAAACTGTTTATGTAATGTACATTTTCTGAACACAGGTCTAACCCCCCCCCCTTCCCTGTCACTCTTCAGCTGTTACTGTCCCCTAAATTCCCTTTAAATCCCCAAGACCACTCTCCAGCGGTCACTACAGGAACCATCGACAACAGTTTTTTTTTTTTTCATTTTTCATGATACTTTGATGAAACTTAATTTTTAGTAGTGTGTGTTTCTCCATAGGATCTCTGTCAGTCTCAAAGTGTTTCAGCAACAAAGAGAAAAAAACTTTTACTGAATAAAGTTAAACTTCAAAAGAAATGATGATCCAGAAGCTGATGATGATCCAGTGAGGACATTCTGAGTAAAGTGATTTCATGAAGCAGAGATTTTATTAAGGATTCATTCAGAATTCAAGATTCAAGATATAATTTCATGTGGAATAACAGAATATATTACCATCATTAAAAATGTAGATAAAAAGATATTTGAACTACTCATTCCAAACACATGAAGAAACCAGAGTAACAATCAAATCAAAGCACATTAAATTTCATGATCCTTCAAAAACACTGAAGTCTGAAAGTTGGATTCAGCTCCAACACAGTAAAATATTTCTACATCCTTCAGTTCCTCAGAGGACAGACATGAGAAAAGCATGTTTAACTCCTTTATGAACTGTATATCAGTGATATGTTCACTAAGACTTCCGTCAACATCATAATAAATCACAGCCTTGTATTGACTGAAAAGCACATTAGAAAAACCTTAAACATTTAACTCACACAAAAAGTGAAGAAAGGTCAATGTTTTTTTGTACAACAGGATCTGTGTTTATGTGCTATATATGAGAGAAAAGGGAGCTTTTGTACTCAACATCAACACCAATCCATTAAAAACCATTAAGAAAAACTGTCTCTACTAGGGATGCACCGATACCGATACTAGTATCGGGTATCGGGCCAATAATAGTCTAATATACTCGTTAAAGTTAATCGATACCATGAACCGATACCAATTTATTACATGCAACTGCTTTGCATGAAGACCGCGATCAGAGGGTGGCTTGTCATTTTTGTTGTATTTTTTAGATTGGCGGCTAGGGGAGATGTCGAGCTAATCAGGAACAGTGTGGTAAGGCAAGTGAGACTGGCGGCTTCAAAAAAAATATTAGATTCCCAGCCGCCCCTACATCACAGACGTTATGGTGCCAAAACTTTTTGACAAGGTAAAAAAAACGTGCGCAACCTGGTGAATGAGGTTTCAGCCTTAAGTTTCACTACGGACATTTGGACAAGCAGTGTGTGCCCGATGTCACTGCTCAGTTTAACGGCGCAGTGGATTGATGAGGAGTTCGTTCTTCATCAAGTCACACTACATGCAAAGTCGTTCCGAGGCTCGCACACCAACCAAACCATTGCAGGTGCTTTCGATAGCATGCTCCAGACCTGGGACATACCGAAGACGTCTGTCCACGTAGCGCTCCGAGACAACGCAAGAAATATGTATGAACCTTATTGGAGAAAGATGTCACTTACCGGATCACTCACTTTTATTGTTAACATTTAAAGTTGGAGTTCAAATAACAGAAGAAAATGAATCAGTTTCACAATCAAAAAAGAGATGCAGAACTTTTCCTGAAAACTTTTTGTCCTCTGACATGTGTCGCTTTGCATTATTAGAGTTAATAAAACAACTTGAATCCTGTCAAAGTACACAAAATAATGTTGATCGGTGGTACAATGAGTTCTGTGATATGGTGATTTTAGAAATGGATAAATGTCAACCTACACATTTAAATAAATACAAATTTAAGTTTTCCTTTCTGGAATTCTGAGCTCCAAAAACTGTGGAATGAACGAAAAATAGCTGAAAAGAACTTTCTTCGATGTAATGATCCAGTGAGGAAACAACAACTGAGAGAAAATTACAGGCAAGCACAGTTTATATTTGATAAATAATTAAGGTTCTACAAAAGGAAGTTTAGTAGAGGGCAGTCCTTGAGATTAGATTATTTACAAACCAATAATCCACAACAATTTTGGAGGGAAATTAATATAGGCCCAAGGAAAATACAGAAAATACCTATGGGGGTTGTCCTAAGTAATGATGTCCTGGAATGCAGGAAAGATTTTGTAATTAAAAAGTGGGAGACTGATTTTGCTGATTTATTTTCAGGAAGTAATATTCCATCTATTTTTGAAGATTCTTTTCTTGAAGATGCACGTCAATTAAAGGACAATTTAGAGAGAAATATGGGCGGAGAGAACTATTCACCAGATTTATTTTTGAATTGTGATATTACCTTGGAAGAAGTGAAAGCTGCTATAAATAAGTCTGAGCTGAAAAAAGCAGTAGGTGTGGAAGATATCCTAAATGAAGTGTTAAAGTCACCTCCTCTTTTAAACATGCTTTTCTGTTTGTTTAGGTTTTGTTTTAAACACAGTATTGTTCCTTCTGTGTGGTATAAGTCTATTATCAAACCTATACCAAAGTCATCTGAGAATGACTCTAGGATACCACTCAATTACAGGGGAATCAGCCTTCTTAGCACAGTGTATAAATTGTATAGTAGTATTTTGAATGCTAGGCTGACCGAGGAAACAGAGGGATATTTAGTTGATGAACATAATGGGTTAAGAAAGAAGTCGAGCCTGCATTGATCATATTCATACAATTTCAACAATTGTCAGGACAATAATTGCAGAAAATAAATCTACTTTTGTATGTTTTGTGGATTTCCAAAAGGCTTTTGATTGGGTAAATAGAGATCTGCTTGCCTTAAAACTTTTAAAAGGAGGTGTGGATGGTAAATTCTATCAAGCTCTAAAGTCACTGTATAGTTCCTCAGTTGCATGTGTTCAGGTAAATGATCTTCAAACTGACTGGTTTAAAACCCCCTTTGGTGTTAAACAGGGTGATGTCCTGTCCCCTAGTTTGTTTTCTCTTTATATAAATGACCTGGCTGTTGAAATCAAGAATGCTAATTTAGTTATACATTTGAATGATTTAACTGTGGGTATTTTGTTGTATGCGGATGATATTGTTCTGCTGGCTGAATCGGAGGATGATTTACAGAATATGTTAAACTTAGTTCAGACTTGTTGTTGCAGATGGAGGCTGTCCATAAATCAGAGTAAAACACAGATAATTCATTTTAGAATAAAAGGTGTCCCAAGAAGTGAGAAAATCTTTACTTTTTCTGATATGCCATTAGAAAATACATCTGTTTATAAATATTTAGGATTTCCACTTGATGAATTTATGAATTATGAAAATAGAATTAAACTCCTGGCTGAGACAAAACAGAGCTATACGTTGTTTTCTGGGTATTCATAAATATGTTCCCTCTTTGGCTGCTCAGGGTGACATGGGCTGGATTCCTGGTACAATAAGGAGAAAGTGTGATATGATTAGACTGTGGAATCGTTTTATTAATATGTCAGATGACAGGATCAATAAGAAAGTTTTCCTTTGGAGTAAAGTCCAGAACTCTCCATGGGCCGCAGAGATTCATGCTGTCTTTGAAGAAGCCGATTTTCAGTATATCTATAGAAATAATTTATCATGCAGCATAAACAAAATTAGAAAAAAGTTACTTGTCGGGTTCAATGAAAATGGTTAAATGATATAATGTTAAAACCGAAATTACGGACATATGTCCAAATCAAGCATAATTATGAATTATATGTTAAAACAAATTTACCAAGAAATCAGAAATCCTTGATTGCCCAATTAAGAATGGGAATCCTTCCCCTGGCACTTGAGGTCGGCAGATTTAAAAATATCCCAGAGGAACAGAGACTTTGTGAACTTTGTGATTTACGAGAAGTGGAGAATGAATCTCATTTTCTTTTATACTGTCCCTTCTATGATGAACTAAGAGTACCTGTTGTAAATGAACTGTTTGCTCAAAACCCTGAAATATTTTGGAGTAATGATGATGTCACGATGGAGTGTTTGTTTACCTTTAATGTTTATAAGTTAGCCTCTTTTGTTACTAAAGCCTGGATGAAACGTCAGGATGGGTAATATATCGTTAATGTTAGTATTGTTTAACATCTACTTTTGGTTTTTGGTCTGTCTATGTTTTATAATGGTGTCTTGTAAGCCCTTGTGGGCGGGGCATGCTAATGCATGACACAATAATAATAAAAAAATCAAAATAAAATTAATTCATTCATCAAAAAAAACCTGCCTCTCACTTTCCCCAAAAAAAGCTTAGTTCAGAGACCACACCATTGCATGCTGACTGAAGTTTGATATTTTGTTTGATTCAAATGTGGACACTGCAATAGGTTCATTAATGTTTCGTCAATCTGAAAGCTGGAGACAGTGCCAAATAGTTAATTGATATTCTGTTTGATTAAAATGTGGAAACTCTGCAATAATTTCACAGAAAGTGTTTATTTTTCACTTGAAATTTTAGTTTTATAGTCATTTTTATTAATATTTTATTTTTTATCTAATTCATCATCATTTGTTGTAACAAGCAGAGAAGAAAATAAATCCTGTCTTCCAATTCATTGCATTTTTTTGTGGTAGAAGTATTGGCATCGTTACTCGGTATCGGCAAGTACTCAGATCCAAGTATCGGTATCGTATCGGTTTGAAAAATAGTGGTATCGGTGCATCCCTAGTCTCTACAGATTAAAACAATACAGTGTGGACTCAGCTAATGTATTAGCTGAGCTTGATGGTTCATTCTTGACCAACCTCAACTCAAGGTCCACTTACTTGCTTGTTCTGGAGCAACTCGCATTACACAGTCTTCATCAGCTGCCATGGAAAAACTCCCCATGATTCTGAGCAGCTCCAGGACCTCTCATCCATGTTGACTAAAGTACAACTTGACAAACTGTCATATAATATAGTTGAAAGCTCCAGAACAAGAGAGGAAGTGGACCTTAAGTGTAGATTGTTTTGTCAGCTATTTTATATAATATTTGTATAACCATAAAACTTCAACTAAATGCGGAGTCTCATATCAACGCCTGTCCCAAATAAAGGTTGAGTTCAGCGATTAAAGCAAATAAAAAGCTTGGGCTGTTAATTAAGGCTTCACGATATACCAGTTCTTGCAGTGAAATATAGTACTTTGTACAAACATGGAGGCTGTGTCTCATTCTGCATACTTCTGTCAGTACACTGCTAATGTGCACTGACCACTTACTGCCGTAGTGGCCACTTTCGATGGTTAGTATTGTCCCAATGGGAACACTTATGTTAGAACACTTATGTTAGAACACTTAGCGGAAATGACGAGCGTGACGAACGCAACACACGTGAACGCGATTTTCCAGCCCGCCAAAAATATATGCCAGCTTTTGTTTACAAAAAATGTTTCTGTATGTTCATTTACCGCTCAGTTCACAGCATGTGGAAACTACGTCGCCTCCGACGCCAACGCAGGTTAGGGTAGCGAGTTAGCTAGGTAGCATTAACATGTAACGTTATGCTAATTAACTCGCCAAATGATTATGTCTGGCTTCAGTCAGTGTCAGTGAGGACATGTAAGTAATGCAGTAGACGACAGTAAAACGTTTCGTATTACCGCTGTTACTTACATTTATACGATACAGTTCACATTTATAACGTGCTCGTCCCAATGGTCCCTCCCCTTCCGCTTTGTAGTCAAGATGGCGTCCGTTCAGTGCGAGTAGGGTCCATCATTCCACACTGAATTTTTTGACCGTTTTTAGGGGGTCATCCGGGTACTTTCAGTGCACTGACTTTTTGTGTTATCTACACTAAATACTTAAAACTACATGTTTGAAGTGTGCAAGTTGGCGGAATGAGACACAGCCAAAGTGATACAAAATCTACCCTGACAGGTGTTGAACGTCACCAGAAATTAACCTTAAAAACATTGTTTAACCTTACTTTTTCTTTTATTTCCTCTTATATAATTTCCTCCAAATTATATCAACAAAAGCTACAAGATGACAAATACCAGACTAAAAGTAAACAAAAAGCAACATTTTAAAGCAAAAACCTAATGCTAAGGTCAAAGACAGATGAATTAACTTATTCAATTATCTGCATACATGTAATGAATAACATGATACTCTCAATAAGAAAACAAAATCCTCCACCAGCAAAAAGTATCAGTGTCACTGAATTTTTTTTTAACCTGTTATCCGGCAGTGGTTTGCATCTTCAACAGTTTTCTCATGATCTCAAAAGGTGTTTGTGTCTGTGGTAATACTGGATTTAAATGTTGGCTTTGCCCCGAGCAAAGATGTTTTGAAGAGAGATTATTGAGGCAGTGGGATACAGCAGGTTCTTCACACCACCTTCCACTTCAGACTTCCACAGCAAATAGAAAAACACTGAGTGTAGACAAGGTAGGACCACCCAACGTATAAACTAGTTTGCATACTGAGACCTTAAGCAAACTCAGTTGGATTCAGTCTGCAGATTGACATGACATCGCTGACGTTGATTTTTTCGTTGATGTTTTTCACGTTTTCTTTGATTGATGAACTATTGTCCTGGAGTCTTCACATTCACCCATGCACATTTTACATTTTGTTATTTCATCATGACCGCCATCTTGTGAATTCAGCTAAACCACCTTAACCTGTCGCTCTGAAGAGACCAGTTTACAGAGAAACCAGGTTACGCAGGAAATGAAAAAACATGAATCCATGGTAATAACTATGTAGATGTAAATCTGCCGTAAACATTCAGCAGATCAGGTTTAGGGTTAATCAGACTTCTCCCTAACCTCATTCAGTAAGGTGACTTACTGATTTCACCTATAAGTCAAATGTTCAGTGGTGGAAACAGACTTATTCAGACTTGTAGGTCTCACTTTGTAATTTAAATACAAGGTCTTCAGTGGCTTCACTTCATCTTCAGGTAACTGCCAACTGAAGGATGTAGTTCCAGACCCCAGGTTATATACTGGCAGGTGGTCTTGTGCCTTTTTTTTTAACTTAAAATAGAATTTCCTGTAGGGTATTGGGGTGGTGTCTGTAAACATTATATTATATATTCTAGAGAGGTTTCTGCTCTCTTGCAGAATTAGCCATTGAAATTTAAAGGGTGTTTTTTTAATGTTTAAAGAGTGACAGGTTGTTCACCTACTTTATATATGCTGTAACTGCGCTACCAGCTGCTCTCAGTTTACTGAACATGGACCGCACTCCTGTTGTGGTTCCTTCATCCACTCGACTTTTTAACTCCATTAGTTTCTTTACCTTGTCTGTGTCTCCTTTCTCCTTCATTTTATCAATCAGTATGTCCAAGTGGACATAAGTGGACAGTGCATTAACATTCAGGGCAATCTCATCCAGTTTGACAACATGTTTGAAGGACTTTTCCAACAACTGATCTTTTTCTTTCTGAAGTTCTTCCATTTTCTTTTGTAGATTTTCCAAAAGACTTGTTTTCTCCTGACAGTCTGTTTGACATTTTTCATATTTTTCCTTCATGTCTTCTTTGGTTTTTTTAACTTTCTTTGTCTTGTTCACAAACTTCCAGTTTTCTTTCACATGATCTGATACAGGACACTTCCCTGTGCACACAGTGCAGCGGCCATCTTTCATGACCTCACAGTATTCTGGTTTCCAGGCCACTGTGCATCCAGGAAAGTGACAGTTCTCCTCACAGACTTTACAGCAGACAGCTCCTTTGAAAAACACCAACCACCACATCCCACCATTGATAGGTTCTTTATCTTTGTAGACCTCCTCAACTTCTACAGTGAACATCTTATTGCTATTCATCTCTTGCTCATGATTCTTCAGACCTTCCTTAGTCTGTTGGATTTCTTTCTGTTTTAGTTCAATCAACTCAATTCTTTCTTGCAGGTTTTGGATGTAAGCTGTCAGTCTGATGCGCGACTTCAACACTTCAACAGTTGTTATCAGGTTCTGAGGTGAAGCATTTTCCAGGAAGTCTGTGAACTGACGCATTTGATCCATTGTTATGTCCCATGCATTCTTTAAGGCAACCTGATTTTTCTTTGTTTTTTGTTTGCGCTGGCGGTTATTGAACATAAAGTGAAGAGGCTCATTCTCCTCATTTTTGGCACATTTGATTTCTGCATCTTCTAGAGCTTGGAGGGCATCTTCAGGCGTCACACCATCTGAGTGTGTGATGAGAGCAACAATGTTCATCTCCATATCTTTTCCAAACAGAGACGCCACTGAATCAAAGATGTACCTTAGTCGGTCACTCAGCCGATTCTCACTCGCTCTCAGCACCAGACCCACTGCATTCATCTCGTGAACTCCATCCACTGAGCGGAACAAGTCAAATAATCTCTGACTGACAATGGCATCTTGTTCAATCCCTGCGGTGCTCCCATATCCAGGAGTGTCGATGATGGTCAGAGAGTAGGGCAGGGTTTTATCTTCAAAACCAAAGATCTGGTACACAATCACATCTGATGTCTGACTCTTTGATTGACTTTTCTTCTCTTCCTTTACGATCTCAAACCAGACATCGTCCTCCCACTCCACTCCCATGGCGTAATTGACCAGAGCGTTGATTAGAGTGGATTTTCCTGCTCCTGTTTCACCCACAAGTAAAATGGTTTTGTTTGTCTTTTTGGGATTTTTTTCACCAAGAGTCATTCTTTTTAGATTTCCAATATTCTCATCCTTTAATTTCAGCTGGTAGCGAGTGGGAGATCCTGATTGGATCAAACTTTTGGAGGTGATGTCATCATATTTGGATGATGTGTTAGTATTCCTGTTGAAAAGTAAAGACATAACCTCAAACTACTGAAAATGGAATGAAATGACTGACCTGCAAGCACTCTTCCCATGCACTTATTATACATGACTGACTTCCACAAGGCTAAGCAGACGTATTGCTAAAGTTACTGAGTTAGTCGCACAATGGCAGAGAAAGTGCATGTTGCACTGCTAAACAAAGCAAAAAAAAAAAAAAAAAAAAAAAAAAGTAGAGAAGGCTACGACCAAAAAAAAGTCAGATAATGAAGCAAGAACTCAAACCAGAGTATGTGGCCTGTGTTGTTGCTAGTTCAGTGATGGCGAGGAGTAAAAGGGCTAAGTTATGCCAGTTAGTTGGAACCTGAATCAAGAGTTACGGTTTGGCCTGTTATGGTGCTGCTTTAGTCTCCTGTAATGGACAGGTAGATTAGACTTTTACAAATCTACTGTCTCGTTAATCCGGCATTCCGGAAATTTGGTTTATAAAGTGAGATTTTAACCTGGAACCGGTTACTTGTAGGAATGAATTTAGTTACTGTTGGAAGATCCTATCAGTATGTCCAAATGAGACATGCAAGTAGCTTGGATAGGCAGAGGTGGGTAGTTACAATGACATTTGCTCGTGCTGTGCTCCTCTCCCCAAAAACACTCTTGTGCATAGATATAGAATCACAGTAATCTTCCCGGGTATTCGTGAAGAGAACTGTACTATAGTTGCTTAGGCTAGCTTTTTTTACCTCTTTGGTATTCTCGCGTTTTTTTTCCCCCCGCATACACCTCATTTTGATGTTTTATTTTGACAGAGAGAGAGACTTCCGCTAAAGGCTCTATCACGTGACTGTGTTTCACCAATCAAACGTAGTTGTGCAGTCTCGTCACGTGACCATACTCAATCTCAGCGGCGGGATGGAGCTTTATACACACACACACACACACACACACACACACACACACACACACACACACACAAAGTTTATGAGAGTTTATGGGCTGCCTTGTTCTAGTTCTGCCTGCAGAGCCTGGTAAAAAAGTATAAAGGTTTGGAAATTTGTGTTACTTGTGCTTATTTATTTTGTATTTATTATTATTTTATTGATTTTATTTTTTAGGTACTTAAATTTACCTGGATAATTTTAATTTAAGCTATTTTGTAATTAATTAGTTAATTTTATTTTATTTTATTGATTGGATGAACTATAATTTGCCTAAAGATGATAATTTTGTATTTTTGTCTGTCTGATTGAATGCTTGTGTTAAAAAATAAATCAGACGTTACTCAACAGTTACTCAGTACTTGAGTAGTTTTTTCACCAAGCACTTTTTTACTCTTACTCAAGTAATTATTTGGATGACTACTTTTTACTTTTACTTTAGTCATATTATTCTGAAGTAACAGTACTTTTACTTGAGTACAATTTTTGGCTACTCTACCCACCTCTGTGAATAGGTAACATCAAGGGTAAATTATTTTGAATTTGAGCTTTTGTTGATTTCTCTAAAATTGTAGATTTCTGTATCTATTATATTATTATAAAGACACCTGGTTGCTTGTTTTTATGAATTGTGAAATTGTCTACAGGGAAACATCATTCAACATAGGTGAATTATTTTGCTCACATAATATTTATTGCCAGTTTCCTGTTAGATATTCATTTGTATAGACACGGGTCCTGGCTGGTCAGCAAATTCAATAAGGACCGTCTTGCTGTGCAGCAACGGTGCTTAAAATATGTATAATTGGTTGAAATAGAATGGAGCTTCTTCTTGCTATCTACTCCTTTAGAGCAGAAGTGAAAGCCCCCAACTTAATATTAGTTGCTCATATCATACAGTAAAATACTTGCTGTTGCAGCAACTCAACAGTTAGTGACTTCCTGCAAGTGCCAAACAAACATTCAGTGCTGCAGCATTTTACTAAAAGATCTCCTCTTTCTTTAAGAAGGTTAAATAATTTATTATAACAGTTTTTGTCACTGAGATAATAAATACATTACATTGACATACAATCTCTTTGCATGTTTAGCTTTCAGTCTTTATGCTTTATGCTATCCTTTAAAACTAAGTAAAGTATACGTTGTGTTCTGTACTGAATGCTAGTTGTTTGATGTTACTCACTCATTTGCCATGGTGAGGCCTAGTAGAGAGGGATCCACACAGTGAGGATGAAACAGGTGTTGGTGTCTGCTGTACAGAATAAGTGCAAAACAACAGTGGTCAAAGTTTTTCTTGATTTCTAAAACTTTTCTGCAATCATTGACTGTTTATTCATCTATTAATATCAGTTATTATGTCAAGTCCCATTTTAAATTTTGAGTATAAAATCTTGATCTTGACATTTGAAAGTATTTAATCATTTACCTGTGTTTCTGGCTTTGAAAAGCTCTGTAATGTTGAGGAGGCAGAAAGAGCAGCGAGCCCTCAGTGTTCAGAGTTTTTATATTCTGAGTGGACTTGCTCCTTCTTCCTTCCAGGATCTGAAATACAGGACAGACACCATGATATGAAAAAACATCACAAATTATGCAATTGAAGACATGTATGGAGTTTAAATGTGCTACAAATTATGTGGAAGACAGAATCTAATAATTGCTGTTGAACAGAGCCACAACCTGTACAAACCTTTCACTCACAAACAGATCTGATCTAATGATTATAGAAAACCTTTCAAATTCAAATATGTTAATGCAGGTTACTGGAGACATTTTGTATTCAGGGCATCACATAGTGGTAACACTTTACAGTAAGGGACACAAAAATGTTAGTAGTTATTTAGAAACAAATAAGGAACGAATGAGGAACTAACTGCTAGGGAACCATTAATTAAATAGCAGTTAGTTTCTCATTCTTTCCTCTTTCATTCCTTCCTTATTTTGGTAATTTTCTTGTCATGTTCGTAGACTTGTCGAGACCTCAAACGCAATGAAACAGGAAGTGAAGGGGGAGGAGAGTTCTCTTGCTTTCATGTTTCTAATAAGATAGTTACTTTTTTGCTCGGGGTCGGGGTCATAACACTGATTAATAAACATTTTGAAAGCACACTACTCTCTGTCTTAATCACCTTTGTACACCTGAACTGCAAGTCACTTTAGATCATTCTTGTTCATATTCATGTCCCACAATCTTTGCTGATCTAGAGGCAAAAACACAACCCCTGGGAGATTTTGAAATTGGCACTGGCAGCAACTTTATTTGGTGATGGATACTATTTTAGATCTTAGTGAGACGGCATTGACCAGGAGCTCAAGGCCATGACGGAGTATATGTGAAGGTCCCAACTTTTTCTCCTCTAGTCAATCTTTCCAAGCCCCATTTTCAACTTTGAATAGACTCTAAAATCTTGACCTTGACATTCAAAAGTATTATCGTAGTATCATTTACCTGTGTTGGTGGCTTCGGGGCATGCTCTGTGATGTTGAGGAGGCAGGAAGAGCAGCAAGCACTCAGTGTTCAGAGTTTTTGTATTCTATCTGCAGTGGGGGCGGACTCTGTTCACATGATTTTCAAGGAAGTGAGTGGAATGGCTCCTCACTTCTACCAAGATCTCATACTTTCTATTTTCCTTTTGTAATTCTCCTTCCTGAAATACAAAAATATATTTTGAAGATGACACATGGTTAAAATTGCTCACAACTGTGCAGATTTATTATAAGTTATGTGGAGCACTCTTCCTGTTTGAAGATATTGTGGATCAATTATTATGGTCTTTTGATTAAAGAGCACTTTTATGTTTCCTACAGCAAAACAGTTTAATATCTGCCTAAACACGCAAACATTTTAAATGGTGAGACTCGTTCCGAGCTGTACCTGAGGATAATTAGACTGATTCAGAATATGAGCGAAACAGGGAGCTCATATTTTGTTCTTTTAATGATGTTAAATTTTAGAGTGCCGGACTTTTACTTTAACTGGGCTGCAGTGCTGATAAGGAGATAAGGTCTGTCCCCTCCTGTTACTGACACTCTGCTGTGGATCAGTGGTTACCTTGCTGCTTAAGGGGACAGACCTTATCACGGCTGCTGTTGTCTGCTCTGCTGTGGAGAGAATCATCTACAGCGCTACAGCACAGTTCAGCCTCTTAAAGAAGACATATACTTACTATTGTGGAACAGTTTGGTAATAAGAGGGAGAGAAAAACACTGGACAGCGCCCGTGGTTCGATCCCACGGAGGGATGGAGATCAGCTTTTCTACAGAGAGAAATGTGAGCAAAGTAACCACTGAGCTAAACCAGTGCAGAAAGGTTGATGGGAAACGGGCCTCATAAACGTGACTTGTTTCGTTTCTGCCAGGAATAATGGGAGCTAGAGAGGAACAATTCTACGAGGCTAGTCTGAATGTTTTACTAAAAACTCATTAGCATGGACACAGAAATAACCAAAAGCAGAAATGTAGAAATCTGGAAATAAATAATATATATCCCAATTAAGGAAATTAATTTAGATGTTTACTTCAGCATTTGTTTAAGCATTTGTGTACACAATTATCCTTTTATTTGTTTCTTTCACTCTTTTTTTTCTGCCATTTATTTCTCAAAAGCTGATTGTCTCCCTCTGGTGGTCCTCTGATAATAGCCCTGCCCTGCTGAATGCATTTCATCCATCCAGTAGTAATTTGACAGCAGTCAGTGGAAAAGCTTTCATTTAAAGATTTGGGGGTTTTCAGACACTTGCTTACATTTGGTCAGTATGGAGAACTTCATGGAGGTGAATTAGGCTAAATCCTATAGAGAAGACACGGGGAGCAGTTATAACTAAAACACTGGACAGCGCCCGTGGTTCGATCCCACAGAGGGATGGAGATCAGCTTTTCTACAGAGAGAAATGTGAACGAAGTAACCACTGAGCTAAACCAGTGCAGACAGGTTGATGAGAAACGGGCATTATAAACTTGACTTGTTTCGTTTCTGCCAGGAATAATGGGAGCTGGAGAGGAACAATTCTACGAGCCTAGTCTGAATGTTTTACTGGGAACACACTGCATGGTAGAGGATGTGTATGAGGACGAAAGTAAATACAAAAGTAAATTAATTTTTTTATGTTTACATATATGAGAGAAAACAATGGACACTAATTGACAAGTGATTCAGTGCATAATTAAATAAAGATTAAATTAATTTAAATAAAGATTAAATGAAGACAGTATTGTCACTTATTGTAAACACAATACGTCAGTGTCACTCTCAGGCTCACCTTTATAAAGCCCGTTTCCGACCGCCCTCTCTGCACTGGTTTAGCTCAGTGGTTACTTCGTTCACATTTCTCTCTGTAGAGAACCTGATCTCCATCCCTCTGTGGGATCGAACCACGGGCGCTGTCCAGTGTTTTCTCTCCGTGTAGTCTGACCTGCCGTGCTGTTAAACACTCTCATAAGTTTGATTACTTTGAGTAAAGCTGTCTGGATTTGGTGAACGAAAAGTGTACAAACTTTATTTCCTCGTTTCAGAGCAGCAGAGTCGCTCTGCTGGAACAACAGACTCGAGTTGCTTTAGTCGCCGTTCATATTACTGTATTCTCTCTGGGGTTGTATTTAAGTCATATACCCGCACACAGTGTCAGTACTGCGGCCGATATTCTGGAGAACTGTCCAAAGTACCACCGTCAGACACCCCGCTGGTACTCTGCTCCACAGTGATCCCTCCCGGCTGCCATACTGTACCTCACTTCATTTTACTGGCGTCAAGCTAGCAGCATTGAGGTCTTCCGGTTGTAACTTTTTTACAGATAACGTATTTTGGTATTTTCACACGACAAGAAACTCATACAGGAAGTGGTTCAACGTATTTAACAGAGGGGGTTTCATAATACTGTCATCTAATTTACTTTACATCAACCATAATACAATATGCGGCAGTTTATCAGGGCGCACAAACTAATGTATGGGGCCATCTTATAGTGCTGCCAACAGCAGTGTCAGGATATTCAAAAGCAAAGTTTATCTACTTGCTTTACGTATGGGAACCCTGTCTCCTCTGTCCCTGTAAAATATATATATATATATAATATAATATAGCTTTGAATTCTAAAATTCACCTCATATAATTGAAGCTGTCAACTATCAGCTGTGAGCCAGAGAGACAACGTCGACGTCTCCGCTGAAAATGTGGCAGCATCAACCACAGATCGTGGGTCGGATATTCAGATTTCTAAGTTAAGTCAAATTCATACTCAAGAGTTCCCGACTGATCTGGAACCAGTAAATTAGTTTCGTGTTGCGCATGCGTATAGCCGATACCGACGCTGGTGTGTTGACAAATATCGGGGGAGGGACCACTGCGGCGTAAGTAGATCTTTGTTCAGACTGGACTATATTCAACCTAATGTAGCACTGTGTGCATAATGTAGCCCGTTGAATATAATTGTACACTGTATGTATCTGCTATCGCGGACACTGTCGCCACAAAGCCAGCGGAAAGGAAAGTGCTTTGTTAAACATCTGTAAAAACCGCTGGGGCCGAGTGGTAGCAGAAAGGTAGGATCCGTGTACAGCTAGCCGCAATGACACATACGGTTTCCGGTGCGAATCCCCAAAACAAAATACCTGTTAAATGCTTTTTAAAATTTCTGAGTAAAAGGGCATAATGGTTTAATACAGACTGCATGTAGGGATTAATCTAAAGTAAATGCCCCCGTCATACTTCTTTTCATCGCACATAGGGACGACGACGCATTTCTTTGTTTGCTATGCTCCAAGTTAATGCTTTAATTTTGAAGGCACAGACGGGCCGTTTCCGTTATCACCCATGGTAACGTTCGCTCTGACTCAGCTCGTACAGCCTCACGGCTAGCTACCAACAACGCGATTCTAACATCGTTCCAGGTTCAATCTTATGCTTTGGGGTCTTTGTCGTTTATAGTCGTGTCGATAGTCAATATTGTGTCGTTTCGCGCAGAGTTCCTCCCGCCTTCTTGTCAAACTTATGAACTTGTTTCACAGTCTGGCTGTGGGAGCGAGTGAAGGCGGTCTCCTCGTCCAAGACTGTCTGCAGAAATGAAGAGGTGAGTGGGACGTTTAACATGCGCCATTATCAACTAATAACAGCAGAAATACGTTTGTAGACTATAGCTGCCAGTCGACCGACTAGCTAGTAGTTCATTAAATAATTCCCTAATTTAACCATAACGTGAATCCTCTCTTGTATTTCCATGTGTGCAGCCAACAGAAAAGCCCTGAGCCAGATGGGAGTGTTACCGTCAACGAGGAAGGTAAAAGAAAATGAGTCTGTTTCTGTAACTTGTTAAATGGATGTGACTATCTCTATGAAAATGTTTTTATTAGTTATTGAAAATGTAGGTTATCAAGGGAATGTTATGATACTTTTATGTGCTTTTATAAGTCAAACACCCCAGTTTCACACACTGTCAAGAATCTGATATGCGAATCGTGACACGTATCACTACAGGGATATGATTCAGTTTATTGTAATATATTGCAACGCCGTAAACGAGCTGATATTTAGCCTTTGATATTTTTTATTCAAATCCAATTTTTGAAAAACTGTCAGAGTAAATAAGAGACCACCATCTGTATAAACCCTGAGTTTAAATAAGTTAACTTTTTTATGTAACCAGAACAGTGGGATTCACATTTGTATTCATCCAACATCTTTTACATCGATACCGTGTTTTTGAGAATTTGAAAAATATCACAAAGCAAAGTATTGTGATACAGTATTTTCTATTTCTGGGGGTTCAGGCTTTTAATGCTCTCATATGTCTCTGAATTGTCTCAGCCCAATTCAGTAAAACACTTTAAAGCCACTATGGGTGCCTGTACTTCAACGTTTTAACCAGGAATATGTGCTGTGTATGTGTTCACTATGTGTTAGCCCTCTGTTCAGGTCCTCTCCTACGCAAGGAGCACGCATGGTTGTGTTATTATACCTGAAGCACTAATAATATGAGTTTAAGGCGTCTTAAAGCTGCTCTTTCCTGAATATTTTTTTGACAACTCTAACATTTTCTCCAGGGTCCGTAGCCACGGCAGAGGACCCGGCAGCCATTGCAACCATTCAGTCTGCTGCCACCTTCACCGACCAGCCCATCAAGTATCTCTTCAAGACGGAAGGAGCAGGTGGGCAGGTAGGAAGGAGATTTGCACAGCATTTTAGTTAACATGTGAGGTGTTATTTCAGAGTTGGTGGGGTGTTCTTTGACTGTTATTTCCACCAGTGACATGTCCACTGTGATATATTACACATAACCGCACATTCATGCAAGACTGCAGAGGGAATTTAATTCTGAGATGCTACACACTGACAGCAATGAGACAGACCTCAGCACAACAACAAAATGAAAATAGATTTTATATTAATATAATGGTAACGGAACTGGAAAGTAAGGATAAAGCACAATGGGGTGCATTTTAATGATAAATTGTGAACAGAAATGAAGTGTGGTTTAGATTAGATTTCCACTAGTTGGGTTGAAGCAAATTTAAGTAGCTCCCCAGTTGTCACTGTAGGCCCCCGACTCTCTTTACCTTGGGGCTCATGTGATTGACAACCATAGCCAAAAGAGGCCCCCTGCCTGCTCCTCCCCATCCCCATTAAAAAAAAAAAACAACAATAAACAAACAGAAACTACGGTCCAAAAGGAGCTCCTTTGATTGGCCAGTCGTCACAAGTTCCCCCCCTCAAGCTGTCCTTGTTGATCAGGTTCTCAAAACACTTCTGCTACAACCATAGCAACAGAGTTTGTCATCTGTGAGCAGAAAATAGCATTTGAGACAGATTGTAATGGAAATTCAGGCAGTTGTCATGCGTGACTTGAGTTTGTGCTTTAAAGTTTTGAGCGAAAAACACATCTCAGGTTTTGTACTGTCTTTGAATACATGCTAACTGATTTTATCTTAACATTTCTTGATAATTGTGCCAATGTGCCAGTTGCATTACCTCCGGGTCTCAGCACTCATGACCCACTTCACTTAATAGAGACCTAAAAGTAGAATTTACAGTCTGTACTATCTACAGTTGTGTACATGTCACCTCAGTAATGATGAAATATTGACCACTCGGTGTAATGTGTTGTGTCCCAGGTGACGTACCGAGTGATCCAGGTGTCAGATGGCCAGCTGGAGGGTCAGACAGACGGAGCCGCGGCGGTCAGCCTTGTCGCTGGGTTCCCTGCAACCACTCAAACTGTCACACAGGTGAGGACAACACTGGCTAACAGTATGAGCATGGATTTCTCTATGAGCGACAACAACTAGTATTACTTTTTCTCTATAATTAGTCACTATGTGGCGTTAAATTCCAACTCACAGGTACTCACATTTGTTGATCTTGATGTTCTTTCTGTAGTGGCTCGCTCTCAAACACATTCTTAACATTACATATAAAATCAAATCAAAAAGGAGAAAAACTGAAATACAACATCTGTGTCTCTAAACACTTCTTTCTTTATATTTGTTTCTTTATATTTGAATTTCTTTTCTGGAGGTTGCTTGCTGTTGAGAACTGTTACTTGACGGTATCTTCCAGCTACGGTCTGCATTTATTTGGATTAACTGGCCATTTGCTCATATATTCCTTTTGCCAACCTTTAACCTACAGGCAGGGGCGGCTCTAGAGGGGTGGCATGGGGTGACAAATGCTGTCAAATTTAACACATTATTTTAGATGAATTAAAAAAAATAGTGCTTTAAAATGATTAAGTTCAATAAACAAAGACATGTAAATGTACATAGAAATGAAACTGCTCATTGATTTCCAATGCTACCTTTAGATATTTCTATTCAATGCTTTACTAATGTACCACAATAATGTTTTTGATTTTTTTTTATATGATTGTTTGTAATTAAATCAATCATATGTTTCTGTCACCCTTTGAAGTTTTCTCCCTCTAGCCACTCCATGAATATTTTTCTACATCCGCCCCCACCAATAGGTGGCATTTCTTACCTAATAACAAACAAAACTGCCTCGAACAACTAACCTTTTACAGTCACTAAAATTGATCAACTTCAAGTGGTGTATTACTTAAAAACATTTTTTTAGTTTGTATAAATCCACCCCAAAACAATTAAGCCGATCTTAAAGATTCAGGCATATTTTAATGGATTGCCATCAACCAGAATAAAGCAGATTAAATCCAATCCCTTCTTTACTGTACTCTACTGTGTTCTGTGTTCTCAGCCTGCTAGAGCTGCAGCACTGCTGCTTCTTTATCACAGACGGGCTCAACCGTGCGAGAATTTCACAGCATGTGCGAGTGAAAATCAGAATGTGCGAATATGAAAAAGTATTTGGGAGCTCCAGCGAGCTGGCAAAAGCATCAGAGTGTAGCAAAATGTGCTGCACTTGCAACCTGCAGAGACCCTGTCTGCGACTGCTATCTGTACTCAGCAGGAGACGAGAGAGGAAGCCACACCCTGTAACACCGCTGCGCAGCTGCAAGTGGACTGGAGCTTTTGTAGTTCTCAGAACAAGTTTCGGGAGGGTTCATCTGTTCTGTAGAAGACGTAGCTACAGCTGTTAGTTCAATGTGTCGGATACATATTTAATCAACATTTAAGAAAATGTAAGTATCAGATCTGACTCTGGATCAGCAGATACCCAATATTAAAGGTCTGGATCTGGGATCTGGGCCAAACGGGCACTAGTCTTCTCCTGCATTCCTGGGGAAAAAAATGACTCCCTTGTTATAGATGAAGATGAGGCGACAGGTTGAACAAGTTCAGTTTCACCCTGTCGTCACTACTTGCTAATGGTAACCAGTAGGCGTTACACGTCATTGATTAACTGATCTCTGCCTCTGATCCAGAAAAAAACACTGATATTTTCTATTACTCAGCTGCTCAAAGTGTAGTAACTGTAATACCTGCTCCTAACGGGGGCTACACACTTAACCCTTTACATTCCCACAGGTGCACATTCTGTTAAATTTTGAAATGTACAAATAGTGATGATGTTTGGTGTATGTTGTACTTTTAGTTTTTGTTTGTTTCATGCTCAGTTTTTGTATATAGTAGAAGCTCATTCACTAGAAAATAATTCCGTGGACCTATTGCCACCATTTACATAAATGCATGGTTGCAAGATAAAACTTCTAATTTATTGATTTAGATAAACCGTTCAAGTTGCAAACATTATTTTAATGAGTTGTGTTGACATAAATAACGTGGAAAAACTAGTTGGAACAAGTACATTTTTTATGAGTAGTCTAATTCACTGAGTATGTAAGTGGTAATTAAAAATATCTTTGATTGTAGAGTGTCCTATACAGTATTATACTTACTTAAAGTTCTTTATGTGTACTCTTTACTATACTAATGCTTCTTTCTGCCTCTTTGCTGTCAGGCTGTGTTCTCCCAGTCCGAGGGGTTGGAGGGAGACGGCAGCACAGAGACGCAGTACACCTACTACCCCGCCACCATCGCAGACGCCACCACTGGCACCATGGTGACCACAGTGCAGGCCTCTGATACACTGCTGGGCCAGACCACACCCACAGGTAATCACTGCCCAATATAAGGCCTAAAATACAGTATTTTCATTTGGCACTGGCTTTGTAAAATCTAAATAACAATAGTGACCATGATCTCAAAATAAACTGAATTATAATTACCGTAATTTTCGGACTATAAGCCGCGCCTTTTTTCCCATTTTTCGACCCTGCGGCTTATATAACGGTGCGGCTAATCTATGGATTTTTACAGCTAACAGCCACTAGGGGACCTCCTAAATCTATGGATTTTACAGGTTACAGTCCACCAACTTTAACTCTATGGGCTCTATGACCGGTCCGCGCCCCCCACCTTCAAGCGGCGGGCTCCAGCAGGAAAAGCTGGAGGCCGGAAAAGAGTGAGACAGGTAGCGCGCAAAAGTAAAAGTGCTGTAGATCACTGTCGGTATGTGCGCTGGGAGCGCAACGTTTAAGTTTGAAAGTTGAAAAGTTTGTGTGTCTGAAACGCTATGTGATACAGTACAGTTTACACAGCACAGTATATGTTCTGTAGCTACTATTGCACTAAATGGTAACACTTGAATACGTTCTGCAAATATGCAACTTGATTGTTGAAATGTTAATAAATGGGAGCTTCCTCAAGCAGCCATCTCTTTCCCGACAATCCCCTCTGTACACGAACCCTTACAAATGGTAATTAAACATTAAAACACCTGCGGCTTATAGTCCAGTGCGGCTTATATATGTACACATCATTAAATTTAGCTGCTGCGGCTTATATTCAGCCGCTTTATAGTCCGAAAATTACGGTAATACAATTAAATGAATGAAATGCAACTTTTTAAAACCATTTTCAGGCCACCTTTTTCTTTTTAAGTTGCCTGTCATTTAAAGGCTTTGCAATTCTAAGATACCCTTTGTCTGCTTTTACTTAACCTCAGCAGCTGACAGTAAGGTTTTGTCTCACAGGGCAGCTCTATGTGATGATGTCACCCCAGGAAGTTCTGACGGGTTCCAATCAAAGGACAATCGCACCTCGCACTCAGCCATACATAGCGTAAGTACATCCAAATCAAAGCACTGTTGCATCTAATCAAAAGTAATCTTCTACATCCAGCAAGTCGAGCCAACTTAATGTCTTTGTCCTGATCTGTTTCCAGAAAGCAAGAGGCTCCTCGCGCTTCCAGAGATGAGAAACGGCGAGCGCAGCACAATGAAGGTCAGTGCTCACATCCACTGTGAGAAGCTGAAGACTTCACTTCAGGTCTTTAAAATGTATTGGGATTAAAGAAGTAAACGTTACTTGTATAAAGTTGCATTTTCAAGTCTTGCTTTTAAATGTGTATTTGGGAACATTTTGTATTAATCCTGCTGTAACAGCTACAAAATGAAACCATGTAACTGATTTTCCTTCATATCCGTTGTGCTTTTTTTTAACCAGTATGTTAAATTGCATTCATACTGGTCTTAAAAAGAAACCCTGTTCAAATATTACAGCAGGTAGGAATGATAGAGTAACGTCTGAAATTCTGTTGTTCCAACAGTTGAGCGCAGGCGCAGGGACAAGATCAACAACTGGATTGTGCAGCTGTCAAAGGCCATCCCAGACTGTAACATCGACTACACCAAGACAGGACAGGTGAGTTCAGCTCAAACCTCACTCTGGTTTTCATACTACAAAGATGATAAATGTAGTAAGAGTAATCTTCAGATGTCATATTCCCAATAGGACAAACTTCCCATAGGTACATTAGAAAAGATTGAGAAAGAAAAGCCAAAGCAATTTCTGATTATTTTTTTTTTCTTCTTAAAAGTCTTCTCTTCTTCTCTTTTGTTTCAGAGTAAAGGAGGAATCTTGTCCAAAGCCTGCGAGTACATCAAGGAACTCCGACAGAGCAACCTGAAGCTGGGAGAAGATATCAGCACTCTCGACCGTCTCAGGATGGACAACCAGCTACTCAGACAGGAGGTATAACTGCATGTTTGCCTTTTTTGTGTCATTACTTATTTCCACTGAACAAGATTTGAAATGTCAACCATTAAGATAATTCTAAGAAATGGCATCGGTGTGGTGTTTTCTCCAGAATTGTGTTCCTATGAAAAACACTCACTATAAACTAATCCTCCTGCTGATTTATGCCTTCTGCTCTCAGGCTGTCAGCAGAGTTCAACTGAATACGTGCTCTGACAGTAGAAAGGAGGATGTTAGACAGTCTATGAAATGTGGAAGTTATTTCTTCTTTAAACACTTGAGAAATGGGTTATAACCAGTGACGGCTGTTGCTGATTTTGGGTGGGTGGGCTAACAAATGCATTACACTCATCAATACGTCACACAGCAGCAACAGTAGCATCACATCAAGTTACAGTAACAACATTGTATACTTTGTTATACCAAGTGCTCAACAGCAACACTGGGGAGACAAACCCAAAAGAATGGCCTGATGACAAAAAATAATCTCTCTCTCTCTCTCTCTCTCTCTCTCTCTCTCTCTCTCTATCTATCTATCTATCTATCTATCTATCTATCTATCTATCTATCTATCTATCTATCTATCTATCTATCTATCTATCTCTCTCTCTCTCTATCTGTCTCTCTATCTGTCTCTCTCTCTCCTCTGTACACATCAGCACATGCCAATTGCGCTACAACAACATTATAGAAAAGTACCAGCAACAATTTGCAACACCATGTACCAAAAATAAAACTATAAAAAAATAACAGTATTTGTAGAAGAGAGAGTTGTTTCAGAGCTTGGGCATACCTTATTTAAAAAGGTTCATCACCATGTCATTAAAGTCTGCTGATTTTTGCATGAAGTCCCACTCAATGGACAGCATAGCCAGTGCGTTTAAACTGTCCTGTCCCATCGTACTACGAAGAAAGGATTTGATCCTCTTCAGTGTACTGAAACACCTCTCTGACTCTGCAGATGTCATGAGGGTTGTGATGGCTATTTGCGTAACTTTCAGTGTTTCAGAAAAAGTACTCTGAAGATTGTTCTCAGTCAGCATCCTCAACAGTGACATTGTGGACGTTAGGCCCGCAAACTCCACACTGCTGTACCTCACCATCAACTCACCTTCAGTTTCTCCCTGCAGATCATCGGGTAATGTCCACATGCAATGTCCAGCTGCTTCTGCGGGAAAGTGTTCTTAAACAGCGAAAAGAGTTCAGGGTCAATAAGTTCGAAAGACACCAAGTGCCGCATCTGGATGTGGCTGATTGTCATCTGTGGTCAGCAGTTCAGATATGGAGCACGAAAAATTCTCCAGGGCCTGTCTCGTTTGACAGGTGATCGGCTAATTGACTGTCTAAAAAAGAGAACTGATAGTGGTAGTGAATGCCTGTGTTTCTTTACCAGCTCGTTGTGTCTCTGTACAGCGATGCGGTGACCCTCATCAAACTGACAGGCGATGTTCACTTTACCCAGCAATGACAGCTTTACACTGTTTCCAATGTAGCTCGTGCTGCATTCATGTTTCCTAATTTTGTCGGATAAATATTTTAAATCCACAATTCCTTGTTGGGTCCAAGCCGTTTCTCCTCCAAAAAGCAAACATGGGAAACAGATAAGTGAATTCCTAGCTACACTTGCTGTTAGCCAGTCCTTTCACTGAAACCACGTAACACAAAAGTTACAATTTTGTCGTTTGTCCTTTTGTGTTATTTGCACATCATTTGCCATTACTACAGTTGCTCACTTCCCTCTCTCCACGTTCTACTACAAACTAGCCTCACTGTGGCTACTGCGCTGTGATTGGTCAAAGGTCACTGTACTGTAGCTACTGCGCTGTGATTGGTCAAAGGTCACTGTACTGTGGCTGCTGCACTGTGATTGGTCGAAGGTCACTGGGCTTTGGGCTGAATGAATTTAGCCCAAATGGGCAGCATATGAAGGGGGCGTGTCACGACGCCTGTCAATCAAAACTGAATGGAAGCTTACGCTACTGTGCTTGGGCTGTAAAAAATAAGCCCATTCAAAGGAAAAACCCAAGATAAATCATATATCCTGGGTTATTTCTGTCACTGTTTGGTGCTGTTGCTGCTCTAGGTTCCACCCAAACATCAAAACAATATGTTCCAAGGTTTTTAATAATAGTTTTTCATCTTTACTGTAAACTGATGGGGGGGCTTAGCCCATATATACCAGCCGTCCCTGGTTATAACCCAGGCCTTTTGAGAAGAGAAGAAGACATTTTGGTCTACCTTCACAGTGCGAAACTGCTGTGTACTCAGATTACTCGCTAGTTTCTGAATCAACAAGCATAATTAGATCTATTATGCTATTTATTATTATATTATATTATATTATATTATTTAAATCTTAAACATATGAGATTAGCGACACTCCAGTGGGGGACAACTTCTTTCACTTCTCTTTAGCTGTCCCTGAGTGGTCTGTTTTTGTCACTCAGAATGCAAACATGATGATTTCATGGAGATTCATTAAAATGTCATTGATTCTATTACTAAAATAATAAAAATAATAAAACTGAAAAATGGCCATCACATTTTCTGAGAATCCAAGGTGATGTCATCACGTGTGTCCAAAGCCCAACAAACTGACTAATCGTTGCAGCTGTAATTTGGTTTCATGGAGCAGAGCCTTGTGGATTTCGCCTCCCGTTGGCCCCCAGTTTATTTTTAGAGCAGCTGACAATGATTTGCAGGTGAAATGAGGTCAAACCTTCTGTAACAACTTGTAGTTTTTATTTCAGTGCCATTCATGCAAATATTTTCAATGTTAGTGTTACTGTGCTGGTAGTCATGCTGGTTTGTTCACGTCTACCGTCAACCCAGATTTGTCTATTTAAACCCATGATGTTACTTATGAAGCATAGGGGATAACTCCATTTTAATAAAAGGCTAATAATCAGCCAAGTCTAAACCTCCTATTTCTACAGTTCATTGTGATTTAGTGAGCACTCATTCCTGACATTATATTCCTACTTCATTATCTGTGTTGCTGTTGCTCAGGTGGAAGACTGGAAATCCAAGAATCAGATCCTGAGGAACCTCCTGCGACAGCATGGCATTGTGGGATCATCCAGCACAGATCCGCAGTGAGAAGCCTGTTGCCAATGTTCAGTGGATATTTGAAGACAACCATGTATGGGCCAAAAGAGTACTTGAAATGCTTTGAGATACTTTATTAGTGGTCGAGTGTGCATGAAACAGGAGGAAATAATTGAATATTGTCATTAATATTCAAATGCAGCTTCTTTGCTAAATGACTCCCTTGAATATTATCTTTGAAGCTTTTTACAGAATTGAAATTCTTTGCCTGGTGAATACAGCCCAATCATAAGAACATGATGCGTCTGAAAAGAGAGAAAAAATTCAACATCAGCTTGAGTTTCAGAAGTCAAATCAGTTCGACGAAGCCCTCAGTGAACGCCTTCCTCCACAAACATTCTGATTGTTCATTAACCTCCAGTACAGTAAGCTCTAAAACATGACCAACTACTCATGTCCGTTTCTTTTTTCTTAACCTCTGCAGTACTGTGCTTCTCTGTATCAAATGCACTTATGTTAATGTCTCAGAAAAACATTGTATTCATGCTTTTACTTGTTTTCACCTTTTATCAATATCACTTTGACCAGTTGATACCACGTTTGTCATCCAGTTTCATAGTTCTTTTGCTTTGTATTTTTGTATGTTTCTTGAAACCTCACCGGGGACAATAATTGCATTGCAACAATGTAACTAACTAAATAAACAGGGGTTGGTAAGCATTGCATTGTAGGTAGGCTATGTATGTCTTTATAATAAAAAAATCAAATAATATACTGTACGTCATAAACTTTCAGTTCTGTTTATTAAAGTTGGTAAATTGGTTAACAGATGTAAAACTGTTTTTTTTTAATTGTATCTTAGTTATGAGAACAGACTGTACATACATTATATTTATCTTCATTTCTCATATGAAGAATTACTGTACGTAGTCGTGAGTATGTTTTATTCTGAAGGTGCTGTGCGGAAGTGCATCATTTCATTGACGCTGGGAGAATTCAGTACTCGCAGTTACTGTAGATATTTCTCTACCCCTGCACTTTTAAAGGAACGACAGGACAAACTCAAGTTTCCTCAATGATCTGCATACTGCTGGTAGCCGGCCACGGCACCGTCTTAGAGACACAAATTAAGGTAAGTAGCTTGAATGTTGCAGTACAAAGGAGATAAGTTGAAGCAGTGCAAAGTTCGCATTGGCTGTGAAGCGGTCATACTGCACTGTACGCCGAACTGCTTTAAAGAATCTGACACTTTACGATTGCGTTACCTTCGGCAAGCGTATATACATATTAGACCACCACTTAGGACATTTACGGAATCGTGAAGATGCACTGCTGCATCCGGCCTACATCTGACCCAACAACCATACCGCATTTTTGATAGAAGTGCAGTTTTATCATTGGCTAGCACTGGCTTCTACTGCCCCCTACCGAGCATAACAGGAATTCGATAGGGGACTCTTTCTTGAAAGATGAGGTTTTATGAAAATAACTGGCGATTATTGGCTTATCTATATGTGCCGAATAATTGACGGTAATCTAATGGTTGACTCGGCAGTACCAAAAAATAAAAACAACGTAACGAAGCTATCTTTTTTCATTAGGTTTGGTGTGTGGTTGTCTCCTGAACAGGGGGGGGTGTGCTGTGTCCAGGAACAGCTGAGTCCACGTATGATCCTGAGTTCGAGTTGAAAGTTCAAATAATGTCGCCAGTAGCTACATTGTACACCAACTGAAACATCTAAGCCTGGATGTGTGTGTATTTGTAGCTTTGTAATACAGTAGAATGGACATATACATTACATGAATTATACAGTAAACCAGCTACACTGTGGTCTGTTTCAGTCTCACCTCCATATACACTTACACTTGCATATACTGATGATACGATGTGATTTGTTAGTATGGTGATTTATGTGTTTTAGTCCAGCTTTTTTTCCCCCACCTGTCTTCTCCCAGAATGATGACACAGGCTTATACAGCCACCTGACTGGGGTACCAAAGGCCTTACTTCCTGGCACTGGTGGAAAGAAGATCCTTGACTTTTGGTGGGAGACAGTCAACATGTGCGTAATGAAGTGGCCCAAACATGACGGGGCCTAATTTCTGATTATCTTCTGAGTCCTATCCAGTGTCTTCAGTCACTCTTAATAACTCACTGCGTCTCTGATTTCTCTCCAGGCGGCAGCTGTTCACAGAGGTGTATCTGGTCACTAATGCAGACAAGTAAGTTCTAACTGTAGCATGACCGAGTTGGTGTTGATTTGACACCCTTTTAATCTGCTCCTGCTCTATTCTTGTTCTGTTTTACTGACCAGGTATAAGTACTACGAGCGCTGGGCCACAGCGAATGACTTCCCGGTGGAAAATGTGGTGAATGACGGCAGCACTACGTTGGAGGACCGTCTCGGAGCCGTGGCTGACCTGCAGCTGGCCATACGCAGCCGCAAGCTCCAGGACGACATCATTGTGGTATGATAAATCTGTTTGTTGTGTGTCCAATCACATATCTGCTCAGTTACATTTCACTGAACTGAATGTCTGTCCTATAATGAGGAGTTTTCCGTTTATGTAAACAGATTGCTGGAGACATGCTGTGTGCAGACCAGAACTTTGACATTGCTCAAGTGATCCGCTTCTTCAAGTCAAAGGTGAGATTTACTTCATTAAAAAATGGGCACCAGGAGCTGTTTAGTGGACATAAAACAAAAAGGAAAGGATATTTATTAAAATCTGTTCCCTATCACCTGAGATAGTAGCAGCAGACAGCAGAACTTTGCTTCTCTATGAGTAGATAAGCTACAGGGTGTCTGGTCCTCATCTGTCAAATATGGAAAACCCCTTTTGGAACCTCTCCTTTCCACTTACATATTCTATGTGGTGTGACTACATATATATATATATATATATATATATATATATATGTGTGTAGCTTTTGTCTTTTAACCATCTCCAAATGTGGCTGTCTTTTCAGCACAGAGCAGCGTAGTGTATAGTATATCTAAGTATAGGGCAGGAGCAAGTTGAACGAGGCTAGCTCAACTGTTATTGGAGCGCTGAACAAAAAGGGGCGGGACCTCGAATGGGTCAATTAAGTCAAGTCCTGGGCAAACACAAGGAATCTGAAACCATCAAAATCCAAAATACTTGTTACGCCCAACAGGTCAAATACATATTTAGTTCATGGCCTTTTCTCTTTTTGCTGCAGCCTGGAGAGCTGATCATATACTATGAGCTGGAAGAGAGTGAGAAAAGCAGCTCCAGGGGCATCGTGGAGGTATGCCCTGACACCCACAGGTGAGAATAAGTTTTCTTCCAGAACTTCACTGACATATATTTCTTACACATCACTACTGTGCAGATGTGATGTTAATCTGATCATTTATAAAAATCAGGATAACTCGCTTCTTGGAGAAACCGCAGGAAGGCCTGACAGAATCCCGGCTGGCCAGCGTAGTGTTTTACTGCATCCAGAGAGACACGCTGCCCTACCTGTCTGACTTCCTCAGCCTGCAGCCTCAAGCCACAGACAGGAGCTTCGGACGATTCTGGGTTTGTAAACGCTAATTCAATAAGTGTTATTTCAGCAAGAATTATGCAAGGTGGAATTACACCCAGTTGAATTTACGAAGCTTTGGCCAGGTTCCTGTGTGTTGGATTGTTCACTAAAACTCTAATTTTCCTGTCTGAAGTAACTTCTGATCCTAGATCTACTGTATAACTTGTATTCTAACAATGATTAGACAAACAGTTGTGTTCAATGGGGAAGGCTCACTCTAATTGCTGCCCTCCTGTGACATCAGTTTAGTCTGTGCGATTGCCAAATAAGTTTGTGGGGATTTCTGCTTTGACTTTGATTTTCATGACTAAATGACTACAGACCTGTTGCCCTCACCTCTGTGGTCATGAAGTCTTCTGAGCGCCTTGTGCTTTCTCAACTGAAAGCCATAACGGACCCACTCCTGGACCCCCTGCAGTTTCGCTACAGAGCCAACAGGTCTGCAGATGATGCAGTAAACATGGCCCTGTACTTCACCCTCCAGCATCTGGACTCCCCAGGAACCTACGCCAGGATCCTGTTTGTGGACTTCAGCTCTGCGTTTAACACCATCATCCCAGCTCTGCTACAGGACAAGCTCTCCCAGCTGCCCCTCCAGTCACCAGTCCGTAAGGCTACTGAAGTTCGCAGATGACATCTCCGTCATTGGGCTCATCTCTGGTGGAGATGAGTCCGCCTACAGATGGGAGATTGACCATCTGGTGACCTGGTGCAGCCAGAACAACCTGGAGCTACATGCTCTAAAAAACAGTGGAGATGGTTGTGGACTTAAGAAAGTACCAGCCCCACCCGCCCCCCATCATCCTGTGGGACTCCCCAGTTGACTCTGTGGAGTCCTTCTGCTTCCTGGGTACCATCATCACCCAGGACCTCACCAAGGATGCCCAGCAGAGGATGTACTTCCTGCGGCTGCTGGGGAAGATGCCAAAAGCCTGCCAAAGACGATGATGGTGCACTTCTACACCGCCATCATCGAGTCCATCCTCACCTCTTCCATCACCATCTGGTACGCTGCTGCCACTGCCAAGGACAAGGGCAGACTGCAGCGCATCATTCCTTCCTCTGAGAAGGTGATCGGCTGCAACCTGCCATCCCTCCAGGACCTGTACGTCTCTAGGACCCTGAGCCCAACATTGTGGCTGACCCCCTGATCCCCTTGTGTGATTTTTGTGTGACTTGTATATTTTTGTGTGATTTATATATTTATCTTTTTATTTTTTTGTGTGATTGTATATTCTAAGCACCACTGCACCAAGACAAATTCCTAGTATGTGTAAAAACCTACCTGGCAATAAATCTGATTCTGATTCTGATTCTGATTCTGATTAGTGCATTATCATTAAGTAATAAAGTTACTTTTATGGCTCTTCTCTCTTCAGGAGTGGCTCATTAATGAGAAGCAGCTGGATGTGTTTGGGATGAAGCTTCCTACTGGCTTCCAGCTCATCGGACAAGTGGTTTGTATCTTTGAATCAGTTCATCAGCCAGGTTTTTTTCACACAGCACCGCCTTCTAATTCATAGATTATAATGGACAAAGACAGATGAAGCTCTGAAAATAACCACTTTTCTTTTTTAGATATATTGACAGTACGTCTCAAAAATAGAATACAACAAAATAAGTTTAGTTAAATTATTAAAAATGTAACTGCTAAGAGTAAATAAAACATTAAATAGCAAAAACATTTTTTTTTCTTTAACCACAATATAACGGTATTTTACGACACTAGTGTGGTGAAAGTAGAGATAATTGAAATCGCAATATGGCCTAGTGCAATATCCAAATCACAAGAAGCTGAGTTTTTTTGATACATTTAAAATGAATGTTAAAGCAGCGTTATAGTGAAGTACTGTAGAGCTACAGAGATTCCCTGGCCTACAAATCTTGTTCTCCAGATGTAAGAAAACCTGTTTGCTTGGTAGAGACCACAACAAATGTCAGCACAATTTTAATATTTTTTTCCAAAGAAGATAGAATTTGTGATGCAAGAATGACTGTGTGAAAGATTAGAATTTGAGAGTTTAGGGCGCCTGGATAATTCACCCAGTAGAGCTGGCTGAGTGTGGCCCTTTGCTGGATGCAGCAGAATCAGAGGCGTTGTCTTTTTTATTCTTTCTCGTCAAAACCTGGGGCCTTTATTCCCCACAATGCAACTTGACTGTCGACAGTTCAGTCAGATATTTGGGCGTGTTAGGCTGGTAGTCATATTTACTGTTCTGTGGTTGTTCTTTTCTCTACCAACCCAGGGACAACAGATGCAAATGTAGGGTGGCCATTCGTCCGGCTTTAGGCCGGACAGTCCGGCTTTTAAATGCCCTGTCCAGCTGCAGGCACAGCCTTAAGCCAGACACTCATTTGTCCTCCTTTTGAGAAAATAACTAAAAAGATCCGCATTTTGACACATTACCTCGTTAGTTTAATACTTATTGGCTAAAAATGTGTGTCAAAATAAGTAATTTCATTGGTTACATTTTCGTGTAGTGACCTATTAACACATGGCTGATTTTAATATTCAAATGAGCCATGTGTTGATTGCCACTGGATCACCACAGTTGCTAGCACCAGGCTGTCAATCAAGCTCTCAGCGACAGAGAACTAACGTGAGCTCGGTTGTTGGACGGAAATTCTGAAAATGCTCATACTCATATATATAGGTAAAGCCTATACATCTGAAACAGAAGGTGCTGTATTTGTTTTACCCTTTATCTATCCAGATAAAAACACTAAGAACAGTTTCTGTATGATGTTTATTAGACCTATGTAATCTGAATTGGAAGGGCACGTTGTCATGAGCTGTATCTTGTATATTTATTATAAGCTATGTGGTATGTGTGTGCACCTTTATGTAATCTGGTGGAAAAACATTAAAATTTAAAACCGGATCATACCAAACAAATATCTGCTTGCGTGTCCCCGTGTATGCAAAGTGTCCTCCTTTTTGATGTGAAGGAAGTGGCCACCCTATGCAAATGACTTGTAGTTTTCAACTGGTGCTGACTCAAGTGACATCACTCGAGGTCATTTATCAGACTTCACACAGCTCCCTGGAGTTCCCCTTTAACTTTCAAAGTAGAGCACATTGCAGTGTGTTAAAGCTGCAAAGTAGCTGGAAGAACAAGTGCTTCAATATTTCGAAGTCTGAAAGCGCTCATTACCCAGAAATCCTGTAATGTGACATCAGCTGCACTCTGCGCTCAGTCCTTTCTGTTACTGCTACTCCTTACTCTTCTACCTTTGCTGTCATCTGCTGTCAGATCAGACTGTGTCTGTGGGTCTGACTACGTGTTCATGGAGAGCACATTTCTTATTACAGTTTTTTCTCAACTGCTGAAGCTCCTTTTTCCTGAATCATTGTTACAGTTCTCAAAGAGAGAGCAGTCATTACAACTTGTAGTACCGAACAGCACAACCCTTCATTTGTCCCCCCAAAAATATATATATACTATATTTTTAAAAAGGCTTTAAACTGCATTTGACAACATGTGACAAAAACATTATACATGTCTGGAGGGGGTCTTTAATGTTACTGCTGATATTTAGGGCTGACTAAATATGCCCTCACACAGGGATTGGGTGCTGTTTTTCTGTTGCAGCTGATCCAATAACACACTTCTTTTTGACATCTCAGGGCCTGTCAGACTACACCAAGTGGCTCACCCACTACTCCACCAAGCCACAAGACAACCCCGCTAAACCAATCACGTGCCGATCATATGCCAGGTAAGAAAACACACACCACGAATGGCTCTCACCCCATGTTGCTTTCAACTGAGCTCAGATTACAGTGGTTTTTCCAGCTTGCAAATAAAAGCCTCTTTTCCTCCTTCTTAACTCACAAAAAGAGCACTTGAATGTCAAAGCACACAGCCCGACACATACTGTAAGAATTTCCAAATATGTGTTGACTCACAGAGTTGGATTAATGGGGAATCCCTCAGACGGCTTCAATGGGAAAACCATTGCTATGTCCATCTCCAACTTCTGGGCCGAGGTCACTCTAGTGGAGAGCCAGACTTTGGTAACACACACACACACACACACACACCCAGCTCTGTGCACACTCAAACTAAAGCGCTTTCATAAGGGGCATGGTGTGAATTTCTGTGACCCTGCAGGTTTTAGTCCCTCATCCGCTCAATGACCCCACAGAGTTTGGAAGCTTGCAAGATCTGTTCTGCATCAGCAGGAAAGAAGGGTACGTACACAGAGAGCTAAAATGCATGATGGGGGTGGTCATGTTCTAGCTTTTTAAAAATATTCTATTGATCATCCACTGCAGGTACCTGGGAGGTCTGCGGCTGCTGCAGGCCACCTGTAAGAAGTTCTACCAGTTCTGCTCCAAACAAGGGTGAGATAACTGAGTAACACGACATATTCATCATTGCCGATGTAATTCACGTGATTTATTACTTAAGACTGTGTGTATGTACATCTTGGCTAAAATATTTCAATTTATTTTTATTCATTGAAGCTGAACCTGCAGATGAGAAGTTTGACACCACTCTGTATGCTAAATATGAAGCTAGAGGCAATAGGTGTTAGGTTAGCTTAACATGAAGACTAAAAGCAGGGGTAAGTCACTACACCCGGCCAAGAATCAGAATCAGAATCAGAAATACTTTATTAATGTGTGGCTGGTTGTTTTACACTTTCTTGTACAGATCAAACAAACGAGATACAGCGTGTTAATTATCGGGCTGTACCTGACTCCTGATTCGATTGTTCAGTATGATTTTCTTCTTTAGTTCAGCGCCACACTAAACTCCTATATCAGCAGTTCCAGCCACGGAAATGCAGCTACATGGGTCTTATGTTTGAGCCTATTACTAAGTTATAATTCTGTATAATTATCTGGGATGTGAAAACATCAGATTTACACATAGAGAAGTAAGAAGTGCGTCCTGCTCACAGTTCACATATAAAATCTCAGCGCACCACACAGTGTCTCTGCTGCTGTTCTGCTGTCCGCCGAAGAGTCAGTCACAGTGAACGGGTAGAGTAGGTTGAACCACCATCTGGTTCAAAAGAAGTTTTAGCCAACTTCACTGACAGTCAACACCAGAGCAGAGAGTGTCAGAGCAGCCGCTGCCCCGCTGCCCTCCTTGAACTATCACTCCTCTCTGCTACCATCGCAGTCAGTGTTGTGGTCTGTGGTCATTTTAAGACTGGGTTTGTGAAAGTTCACACCCTGCAAGGCTGTCGCTTTGTGTACAGTGACGCAGCTGAAAAACAAAAGTGCAGAGATTGGACTGTGAGTCGACTCTTCTCGGGGGCGGCCGTAGTTAATTAGTGAGCTTTAGAGCTGCTGGGAGCCAGAATGTGTTACCTTTGGGAAAAGCCATGCTAGCTGTTTCCCCTTGTTTATAGTCTTTATGCTAAGCTAAGCTAACCAACTCTTGAAAGTAATGACATCAAACACTTTTTTAAACTAATTTATAAAAAATGTTTTGGGTTATTCAGTCTAACCACAGTGGGCCCCTCGCCTCAGAAACAATACATACTTGGTTTTTTGTTTTTTTTGGCAAATTACCACCATTTAAAGTGTTAGCTGTTAGCCGTTCCTTATTGCAGGAGATGTACCAGCGACTATCACTGGAGTGCTTCGATACTGAGGAAAACTTTTTTCTATGATTTCCCTGCTTGTTTATTATTTATTCATGTTCAAGTTGAATTTGAAGTGACTGAGTTATGGTTCTGTGTTGAGGAGTACCAGCATACCTAAAAATTACAATACCTAACTTTCTGTTGTTTTTTAAACACTGGCTCACACCTTTCACCTCACCGTGTCTTTGCCACTCTTCCCCCCCTCAAAGACCTCTGAATTAAAGGCAATATAACTGATGAAGCTAGAGAGAATTGAACTGCACACTGGACCCTGCATGGATGATTATGTTACTGTGTAACAGCTGGATGTGTAAATAAGCAGCTGCTTTCTAACAGGTTGACCATATCACCTTAATAGGAGATGAATGTTTTGATCACAGGTTGTTTCTTCTGCCCTTAAGTGGCCAAATAAAATCAGTTATTGCACTTTTAAAAGTAAGGTCTGTTTCTGCATTCGAATGAAAAAATAAAATACAAATATTTGAAATTGATTTGTATAAAAAACAGAATATTCTTACTGCACTGGATGTTTTTCACTTGTTAAGAGAAAAAAGTGCTTTGAGGACAATTAGACAAGAAAATACTTGGTAAGAAGGGGATTTTTTGCAGTAAACAAACACTTTGTATTTTTAAGGGGATCCTGCGTTTCGTATTGAAAATCTTAATTTGTAAATTAACTAAAGCTCTTGTGTTAATCTAGCACAGGAAAAAGATTTCCTTCTGACATATAGTGAAGTAGAAGTAAGCAGAAAATAGACACACTGAAGTACCTCAAAGCTGATCTGTAGTACAGTAGTTGAGTAAAAGTACTGTAGCACCAGCGTAACTATATTGTGCTATGTTGTGAGCCAGATGGATTCAGTGAAGCACATAAGATGCATCGGCCCACTGTACTGCCAACCATGAAGAAAGGCTTAGTCAGTTCACAAAACATTTTCCTTTCAGTTTGTATTTTTTATTTGTTAAAACTGTGGACAAAAGCGGTAGTGTTTCTACTGTCTTATTTCATTGATTTCAAGGGGCCATTAAGAATAACTATAGAAACAGCCAGTCTTCTCAGTGATAGTCTTGTTTGCATATATAGCTCATATAGAGGCATCAGTATTAAATTGAGACTGTTTCATAACCAGTTAAAAACTCCTTGTTGTATGTCTAAGGACACTCGCTTTCACTGCAAATGCTCATTCAGTGTCTGCTGTGTGTTTTTCTACTGCAGTATTGCACTGACAAAGCAGAACTTCACACTGAAGTACGACACCAACATTCCTCGGCAAGTGGTGAGGATCCATTCAGATACTGGTTTCTAAGAAATAAAGGACAGCATTATAGAGTTAAATTAATGTGAAAATGTTATGTAACAATGAAATGATTTGTCTCCGTTTTCAATGAAGGGCCTTGCTGGAAGCAGGTAAATAGTTCTGTTTGATGATTTCCTATCAGTATCGACCAAATTTAAATAAAACATTTTGCACGCTTTAATAATTGACTACAATCTTCTCTTTCCACAGTGCCATCGTCTCAGCTACCCTCAAGTGCCTTATGAAATTCTACAACATCACAGACAATGTAAGGAGGGGGGTAGATATTTGTTATCACAGCCATCAGAGTCTGTCATTCCTTCCACTATTTGCTATTATCAAAACCAACCACAATTTCATTTATGGTGAAAACATCAGCCTCTCCTGTTTCAAAGTTATAAATTCAGTAGATTTCCCTGTGGATCCAGTGAAGTTAGACATTGAAAGCAGCACTGTAGACTTCATTTTTAAATGTGTTTTTAAGATGCTGTTCCTGACTAACATGTTGAAGTTTGTGTGTAATTACCAAAACCTTTTTAACTAACGACCTGAGAAAAAAGATGTCTTTATCTATTTATATATTTCTATTTTACACTCCAGGATCTCCCGAAGCCGATCCGAGCCAACTTCATCCTCAACGTGGAGACTGATGAACTTTTCATTACTGCTGGCCTGCAGGACAGAGTTGTTCAGGTCAGTAACAAGTCAGCATTACACAAATGTACTTGACAGCATGTCAGTGATCTTTCAGTTAAAGCTGCAGTAGGTAACTTTTATTAAAATAACTTTGTCATATTTACTGAAACTACTTCAGAGCTGTAAGATATAAAGACACTTTGGGTTGGTGGCTTGATAATATTTGATTGTTGAGTCTCATTCCCAAAGTGTCTGTATTTGACACCCTGGGAATGAGACTCAACAATCAACTATCTCTCGACACTGATTGGTTGTTTTCATTCAGGCCCGGTGGATTCTCGCAAATACTATTAGGAGCACTAGAAGGAGCCAGAGGGTCCTGATTGTTTCACATTCACATTTCACGTTCTACTGTCAGGATATAGTGAAAGCTTTAACAAGTATGACAGAAAAATATTTTTATAAAAATGACCTACTGCAGCTTTAATACCAGCAGTAGCATGAATTGTTTGCCCTTTTGTCTTTGCAGGTCTATGAAGGATTAGTCTACATGGATTTTAGCAAGAAGCTCATGGAGGATCAGGGCTATGGTATTGAAGTCACCGTCTGTCTGTAGATGCTAAGTAGATGATACAAATACAAATGTTATTCCTAATGTGTGTGTGTGTGTGTGTGTGTGTGTGTGTGTGTGTGTGTGTGTGTGTGTGTGTGTGTGTTTCCCATTCTCAGGGAACTATGTTTCTATGGACATGAGTGGGCTCCCACCGTTCTGGCTGGCTTACCTGAGCGACCCCAGTGACTCTGGACGGATCCACAGCAACATCAGACAGCGCTGGCTCAGCGGTACGTCTTCACATCAAATTACATTACATCACATCAGCCTCCTGTTGATTCATAAGGTCAAAGGTCACTGCCAAAATGTCTCATCTTAAGTTAGCTAATGTAAGCAAAACATTAGCTAGCTAACTTAGTTTCTGACTATGTATTTGTCGCTTTTATCTTTTAACCATCTTCAAAATGTGGTTGTCTTTTCAACATGGACGAGCCTAGCACAACAGGAAATGAGGAAGTTGACTGAGGTTCTGACTGCTCAGTTAATGGATGAATTAGATATCCATCATCATAGGATGAATCCTAATCGGTGAGCCCCTGACATTTCCTACAGCTCCCCCTGCAGGTCACAGTTCCATCAGGTCATAGACGTTCATGGTTCTCAGAGGATAAATCTTGCTGACTTCGGTGATCTTCCTCCATTGGCTGTTGCACCACTATGAGGTTCACGTTTGCGGTTTTAAATGAAACGTCCCGACAACTATTGGCTGGATTTTCATGGCATACTTTACCTTACGTCACCAGGATAATCCACCCAGCTTTCCAGGGCAGTCTGAGTACATTGATAACTGATGTGCATGTTCCCGTCTGAGTCGTACCAACTTTGTTTTTTCCTTTAGTCTCAGATTTAATAGGCAATACTTTGGTTAATAACCAAATACCCTCAAAACTAATGACTTTCCCATTAGCCCAATGCTAAGACAGTGAACATGGTGAAGTGGTATCTACTAAACATCATTGTCTTTGTGAGCATGGTAGCGTGCTTACATTAGCAGTTATCACAAAGCACCGCTATGCCTACGTACAGCCTCGCAGAGCCACTACCATGGCTGTATTTAATCTCATTTTATAGCCACAAAGTATTCTTTACTGGGCAGAAAAGCTGCTGATATAAAGAGCAACACATTTCAGTTTTCTATAAACAGACAAAAAAGTTGTTTTAAAATAACATGCAAGCCCATGTGCACATTTACATCTTTCTGTTCCTGTTAGGAGAAACTGGAAACACATTGGTTCGTTTGATGAACTACTTTCATGTTGCTCTCTCTCGACAGGGGAGCCTCTGGTAGTCGAGGCCATGAAGACTTTTGCTGAGCTCACAGATCAAGCCAGGTCGGTTTGAGTACTTTAAGTGGATTGTTGATCAAGAATTTCTGTAATTAATAGCAATGGAGATTGAGTCAAATAAATCAGGGCAACAGCTGGACATAAATAACCATTAGATTAATTACGCCTAACCTTTGCACAACAGTCTCAAAGTGGCTTTGGGCTTTCTGAATTGTGTAAAATGTTTATGCACTGTGAGTTCCAAGAAACACCACATTTAAAGTGTCTTCGCTGGCAAAAGCTAGCGTTTGTGTTTGTGGTGGGATTTCAGAAGTTCAGAACATTTGAGCTGAAAATTACTTTAGCACTGACTGGAAATGTTCTCCCCTCAGGGCAGCTCTGCAGAACAGAGACTGGGGCACTCTGGCACAGCTGATGGACCAGAACTTTGAGCTGAGGAGGTAAACAGTATATTTTGATGTGGAGCATCATTCATGTTACAGATACACTCACAGCTAAAGTAACAACACACCCCGCAGGACTGTCTACACTGATGACTGTCTGGGCCCAGGGAATCTCAAGATGGTTCAGCTGGCGAAGCAGGTAGGCCCTCAGAGGCTCCTCTACCTGCTTAGAGCAGTGCATGTTTTATTGAACATCTGCGTGTGTGTGTGTGTGTGTGTGTGTGTGTGTGTGTGTGTGTGTGTGTGTGTGTGTGTGTGTGTGTGTGTGTGTCTGTGTGCCTGCAGGAGTGTTTTTATGTTTATGTGTTCATAAAGTTTTTGCTGCTTCTTGCAGTTTGGCTCAGCGGTGAAGTTACCAGGCAGTGGGGGGGCTGTGGTGGGTCTGTGTCTGGATAATGCAAGACTGGTAAGAACGATATAAAGACGCTTTGGGTTGGTGGCTTGAAGACGGTTGTTTGTTGTGCCTCATTCCCAGTGTCTGTATTTGACGCCCTGGGAATGAGACTCAACAATCAACTCTTTCTTGGCTCTGATTGGTTGTTTTCGCTCAGGCCCGGTGGATTCTTACAAATAACATTAGGAGCTCTACAAGGAGCCAGAGGAACCTGATTGTTTCACATATTATCTGTCTCATGTTCTATTGTCGGGATACAGTGAACATTTCAGCAAATGTGACTACATTTTCACAAACCATTTTCAGCTTCTCTCCTAAATCAAAGATTGACCTTATCACTTTGATGTGATCACTTTGATATCCCTGCAAGGAAACTCTTGTAGGGATATGCAATGTAATGCATTTTCTGTTTCAGAGATACACTAACACCTCATACTTTGGTTAAGGAAAATCTTCTACGGATTACTCTTGAAACACACAAAATCAGTTCTCTTTTCAACTAAACGATCAGGAAACAAAACTACTGTAAAGTTTCATTTTCTTGTCATGATTTAGCTGTAGAACAACCACATAGTTGGAATATTTCCACCAAGAGGAAGTCATCTGCTCTATGATCACACAGCCTTGCACTCAAACTGGCATTTAGATTACTTGAAAACAAAATTTGTGTTCTGTTCTGCATCCATAAACCAAATATGTTTTAACAGACAGATGATAAATCTGGAAAAAAAAGTTTAACCAGTTAAATAAAAATATCTCATGGCTGGGACCAAATTGAGTCCATGATAAATGAAAAAGATCTGTAGATTAAACTAAACTGAAACTCAGCTTTATGCAGAGATATTAGCCCAATGCAAGATGTCAACACCTGATTCATTTCAAATCACAGAATTTCATTATACAACCCTGTGTTGTAAATGACAATTATATAACCTTCAATCCTTGAATTTGAAAGGGCCACAACCTTCTTAACTAATTTATGTCTTGCTTGGTTAGAGTCTGACCTAACATCCTGGCTCGGGCTGCCCTATAGTTCACCTTGTAGAGCTGGAGCCCCATGTGTCAAGGCTGAGTCCTTGCTGCAGCAGCCGTGGGTTCGACCCTGACATGCCCTTTGCTGCATGTCATCCCCCTTCCTGTATATCTTAAGCTGTCCTGTCTAAAAAAGGTAAAAAGCCCCCAAAATATAAAAAAAAAAGGAAAAAACAGATCCTGGCAGTAATGAACCCGCTCTGAGTTGTAAATTGTGAATCTGACCTCAAGGCCCTGTGTTATACTGTGTGATGCAGTGTGTCTTTTGCCCACTAGGTGGAGATGAGGCAAGCTTTCCAGGAGGCAGGCTGTGTCTTCTGTGTCATCGCACCATACAACCCATCTGCCAGCACTGTCGGCGGCCAACACTAACCTCACATCTCCCCACGACACAGTCAGGCTACTCGAGGCCAACTCACAGCCATCGGTTGGATATGGCACAGCGTGGCATTCAATGAGTCCCAATGTCATTTCATAGGATTTTTTACTACAGTGGAAAGATAATTTACATGGAATTATGTGTAAGCCATAAATAAAAAAAAGAATCGGGGTGGGGTAATTGACCAGATTGACCGAATAATGTTTAGTGAAACATCAGGTATTGCTTCACTTTGTCCCTAGAGATATAGGGAATCTGCACATTTCACACTTTTGATGCAGATTTTCAAATTCACAACATTTATGGTCCTTACCATTGTGTAACATGTATAATCTATAACAATGTAAAAAATATGTAATTATTTTTCTACATCAATTGTAAAGACTCAATCTCATATATTTGTATAATGTATGTAATTTTATACACAAATTAAAAAGCAATTTTAATGTTCTTAGTGTTTTGTCTTGTATGCTGTATAGCTTGTAACCCATATGACACACACTTACTACAGTTGAGGGTAAACAAACCAAGGCAAACTAGTTGAAATAACATGTAAATCACATTGTTTAAACCCCTTTTCCCCCTCACAACCCCACAGACTGCTCTGTAGTCTGTACTCTGCCGCTGTACTGTACACTCAATGAGCACATCTAATTTGCTGTTTCCTCCAGTGGGCGGAGTAGCGGGGCTCTGCCTGGCCGCTCAGCTCAGCCCTCAGCTCCGCTCCTCTGTATAGTCGCCGTTACCTCTCCACTCATGCGGATCCAGCCGTAGCTCATGGACTAGCCGGAGAGGTCTGGTGGCGGACTGTATCGGGCTTGTAGCGAACAGGGTGAACTCAGTGGACCATGGCTGCCAAAGAGGACCTCTACAGTAAAATCCTCCCTCGGAGGCTCCGACAGAACCGGCCGGGCTCAGTGAAATGTGCCTCCAACTTGGACGTGCTGTTATCCATGGGCTTCCCCAGACCAAGGGCGTAAGTACCCTGACCTTAACACCCGTGTGTGTGTGTGTTTGTGTGAGAATGAGAGTGTGTGTGGGCTGGAGAGTCAGAGGTTGTCAGGGGACCTGGCGGGGACCCGGCAGGGACCCGGTCGGTGTGTGAGCAGTGAGTAGCGGTCAGGTCTGTTATGGGAGTTGCGTTAGCGGACGGGTCAAACGCAGCATCACTGGCCGTTTCCCAGCATCGGTTTTCGCTGTGCGCAGCTAGCTGGTGTTCCCTGTATACACACATGCACTACTGAAGAGTAGAATAGAGTCAAATAAAGTGTGATATAGCTGAATTTAATTCATTAAAACAGCGGAATAGAGTCGGAACAAATGTCAATAAGCGAAGAGATGAGTGGAGGGAAACAGAATTAGCAAGAAAGCAACATAAAAGTTAACAGAAGTGACCGCTAGCATCAAATAAAACAGACACCATATCAATCATAGCTCCGTTTAAAGACCTGGAGACAGAGCCGAGGGGCTGTCGGTGCTTAAACTGATATTTTTGGACGCATTGCTTGTGCTGTTGTTCTTTGGAATCTGTGTATTGTTATTTTGTGTTTTTTTAAATGTTGTGTGTGTTTTTAAGCACTTGTCTTTCTTTTGTTCCGCTGCCGCTGTTGTGTGCAACTCTGTTCCCCGGTCGATGTGTGTATCTTGGCCAGGACTGCGTCGAGAGAGAGATATTTAATCTCAATAGGACATATCCTGTTTGAATAAAGGTTTAAATTAAACTATATTAAAAAAAAACACAAAAAAAGCTCCGAAAATGTGGTTATATTTTCCTTTTTCTGAACCTTAGTTAAATTATAGCTCAACGTAGATTAAAATGTTAAAGCTTAATAAGAAAATACTGTTTATTTAAATAATAAGTATTTGCATGCTCATTTTATTTTGAGCCTGTTTTAGTTCAGTCAAATCTACCTTAGAGTAGGAAACTTTCAGCCATATTCTTGAGGAGCTGTCATATGCAAACTATTCAGAAAACTGGAGTCAGGAGTCATGAAGTCATGAATGTGTGTGTGTGTGTGTGTGTGTGTGTGTGTTTGTTTGCTTGCAGGGGGGGGGGTGTCATACGGTTCACCCTGTGTCCTCTGCCGTTACTGAATGGAAGGACTGTCTTTGACTTGGCCAGATCAGTGAGTTCACATCCGTCCTGGCTACAGGCTCACTGTAAACACAACACTACTGTATACTGTACATCACCAGCCAGGAGCAGAGCGGTTTACACACAGTTACCAATGAATACTGCAATGCAACGGGTAGCATCAATGGACGAGAGGTCTACGGTGTCCTACCTGTCCGTAGTGATTACACAGTGAAGAAAGGGAGTCCTGGGCCAGCACATAATTAGAATAATGTAACAGCTGCAATACTGGATAGTTTGTTACAAACATACAGTGCGTGTCTGTCATTTTGTGTTTAAAAGATAAGCTTTCAGCTAACATGCAAACACTGACATTTTATTATCTCACAAAGTTGATACACTTTGGTGTACTAAATCAAAGCTTTATTCAACAGCAACATATTGCATAATTCTCTGTCAGCATGGTACAGCCTATCAAACATATAAAGACACAAAGGTCTTGACATATTAAACACATATAACTGAATATCAGATTACATGCAGAGCCCGCTCATATAAATAATATCATGGTCTTATAAGAAAGACGCTCAAAAACAAGAGACTACATGTTATATGTTTATATTTCAGATCCTTATTTGATAGTAGATCGATTAAATTTCACATCTTCGATCAATTATAAAGGGATTAGCAAACAGTTGTCTCTTTACACATCCAGCAGACACTGAGCAACAATAACATTTATTCATGTGTTTTTGGTCTCCACTATCACCTGAGGGAAATAACTGTCTCTTTATCTGCTAAACTCTCCACTGTAGCTAGGTGCTGGGCAGGCAGCGTACAGTGGGTTCATCAAAGGACTCATCCCTTACCTTTGGTTGTTAGAAATGTGATCAAAATATCTACTGGGCGGGACATCTTACAATTTAAGAATGAAGTTGTAAGTGCTCTCTGACAGACGGACAGACAGACAGACGGACAGACTATGTAATGGTGAGAACGTTTCTCACTTGTTACAAACACATCTTTGGCATTTCTTTCATTCCATGTATGATGGCTGTCATTGACTAACAGAACCTCTGCTTCTCATTCTAAAGTACGCTTAAACATGAAAAATGGGGTTGCATGAGGATCAGCCTATTCGATAACTGATGATTACCTGCTTCTCATGAACAATAATAATACGATACTTTTGTATTTTAAAACAAAGTTCGTAACTTGTAGCTGATGCACAGCTGAGGTTAAGAAAGGCTAAGATGTAGTTAATAATGTGTATATATAATATAATGTATGTATCTTTAATTCAATTATTGTATAATAACACATGTGTCCCATTATCAGCTGATAATGTATTGGACCCGATGAAAGTGCATCCCTTGTAAAAAAAAAACAAAAAAAACCATCACTTCCTGTGTACCAGAGGATTTTCCAAGGAATGGCCTCTCTGACACCAGCCGGTCAGAACAGCAGATGGAAAAGCTTTCCTAAACCGTCTATGGTAGAATCAGTATTGTGTTGTATTAATTCATCAAAGTAGCTAACCCTATTTTTGTCCGTATTATTTGTAGTCTGGGAGAAATCTCCCAGCAGGTCTCTTTTTTTCAGTTCATACACTTAACCTTGGGGACTCTTCCCACCCCTTTCACCCAGACAGATGTCACACATCAAGAGTGTTTGTGTGTAAGTGTGTAAGTGTTTTTGCCAGTGTGTATGTCAGAGGAAGTGTGCTGCGGTTTGCTGAATGGACGCAGCAGATGATGATAGGCCCCCAGGCAGGCCAACGTTGGCCTAGAACACACTCCCTCAGGGAAGCCACAACCTCTTTTATATCGGCCCATGACTGCTTGGCTTTGACACGGCCACTTATTAACTCCCTTTCTCTGTCTGTCTGTCTCTCTCCCTCTTCCTTCTGAGTGGAGTCTAAAGAGGTTGACCCACTAAATTTCCTGACCAACTTCAGGTGTCCTGGTTCTGCTGTAAAAGGATTATTTCTGTGTGGAAAGATTACATTTATCTTCTTTTCTAGTCACGCCATTGTTTTGGTTCAGGGGCATCCCCGCATTGCTATGAGTGTTCACGCAAGAGAGTAGAAATGCCTTCTGGCTTTATATAAGAGAGTTTAGTCATATCAGTACAGGAGGATGTGATTAATGAAACAGCTGTGGCAGAAATGTGAAATAGAGGTTTTAGTTAAATTTAAGCTTGGGGTGTTGGAAAAATATTGAATTAACTAGGGCTGGGTATTTAAAGATCCAGTGTGTAATATTTAGGAGGATCTATTGGCAGAAATGGAATATCCATAGGTAAGCTTCCATTAGTGTATAATCACCTGAATATAAGAATCAATGTGGGGCTTTTTTACCTTTTAGAATGAGACGTTTCTTTTCTGTAGACGCTGAAGGTCCCCGTAGTTTCTCTTACACAGCTTGTTCTCATTCCCAGGTCTTCAAATACATATGCGAGCGGTGTTCAGTTAGTTACTGTATAAAACTTCACCACTAGATGTCACTATGTAATACACACTGGTTCTTTAAGTTCAATACGTTTTGAATCTTGTGTGTAGCATTGAGAATTCATGGTTGTCTATTCATGGTTCCTCCTCTGCTACACTGCTGATGTTATTGTGAGGCAGTTGCATTTTACAAAGTCAGCAAACAGCCTTACCTTAATACATTGTTTCTTCTCAGAGGGCTCAGTGTCGTTATCTGTTCAGCATGGCTTGCTAGTTTCCGACAGTTCAGAAACGTCCCTCACTGAAGTACACGGCACAACAAAACATTGAAGATACAGCACCATAAATGGAATTCATGATGAATCTCAAGAGAAGCATTTGAACATGTTTATAAAAGTAGGAATTCAAAAAGAGTTTTGTTTTGTACAGGAACCAAAACTTGGTCCCAATGTGAGTGCCAGTATCAGTATGATACCTATTGGCACAAATATCAAATGACATCAAGACCTAGATTGGACCAACCTATCGCACTAATATTGGTCAGGTAGTTGGGAAGTTCTGAACTTTAAATTGTGACATTGAGCTTAGGTCAAGGCTGGAAACATTTTTGCATCTTCCTCTTCATTTCCTGTTGTCTCTCTATTTAACATTTAACATTGTGTGATATATATATACATATGAAATTGGATTCTTGGTTAAAGTGTGAGATTTAAGAAGCTTTGCTCTCTAATCAAGCATTAAAGCATTCCAGATGTGTATCTATCTTTTTTATATTTAATAGTTTTATATTTAATTTCTGTTGAAATGTGTCCTAATTAAATGTCAGATGTAAAATTCACAAAAATCCACAGTCTTAAGGAATCAAAGGAACACAGTCTCCAGTGAGTTACTCTACATAGTACTGATAATTTAAAAAATTGCTGTTATTAATGACTGACATTTCCATCATCTAGCAACCAGGAAATGGCTGTAGGTCTGCCGTCTATTGACAGGTTAAACCACTCCGAAAAGAAAATCGATTGTGCACATTATTCTTCTCCCCGGGGAGAAAATACTTCCAGCAAGTCACAAGGTGCATCTCCCCGCCTTTGTGAATGACAGTCTTGTGTATGTCAGCTAACCCTTAATGTAGTGATCAATTGGACAGGAAACAAGCAGAGTCATGCTTGTTTTTACAAGAATAGCCTGACATCTCTCTGCATGTGGGCTCAGAGAATTGAGAGACAGTATCAGTAGGAGCTAAAGACTGAAAGGTCAATTATTATCGGATCCCAGGGTTTTTTCTCAGGGGTAAATATGTCATCATGAGACATCAGAACTTGTTCAGACATATTCTCAGTGTACGCAGAGAAAAACCCTGGCTGAAGGAGGCCAACATCTCTCTCTGTATGCATAAACCCTTGTGTGTTTAGCTGAAGTTCTCACTCTGAAAGGCTCTGATAACATCATTTCT